TCACTGGATCCGCTCCTCTGCTATCAACGAGAGGAACGTCTGTACTTCCGCAACAGACAACAAAACTTTTTGGTTGTTAAAAAAAAGGTGCGCTCGTTCAAAACGGTTGCGTTCGATCCTTCGCTGGCTCTGCTGATTTAAATCTAGCGGTTCTTTTGTGTTTGTGTCGCAAGTCCAGTGACGCAGGTAGTGACGATTCTCTCCGGCCAATCCGTGATCAGCAGAGTTTACACGTCACGTTTTGGTAACGGTACGGTTCACTTGGAACCTCAACCGAGGTGGTACTAAAAAAAGTACCAGGTACTGTACCCAGTGGAAAACCCCCCAAAACTGAACCGTACCGAGCCGTACCATGCAGTGGAAAAGCACCATAAGTGTGAGTTTTGTGCTTCTGCCATTCCTGCACAAGGTTGTAGCACTTTAATTCATAAATGTGATCTAACAAAGGTAAAGGGAAATTTTTGACCATATATGCTGATTTTATTGCTTGTAATTGGGATGAAGTAAACATCTGTTGAGTATTTTAACATTAAATTTTTGATTGTGTTGAATTAAAAACCCAAAACTGCAGCGAGTCCACCAGACCCACGAACACTGGCCGAGTAACAAAAATATGAACACCACACAAGGGTTAAAGTGAGCACTTTGAAGGGTGCATGCATGGTAATGTAGTCTGATAAGTGCACATTTAGTTTAACATACACTGCCGTTCACAAGTTTGGCATCAGTAAGTTTATTAATGTTTTTAAAGATGTCTTTTATGCTCATCAAGGCTGCATTTATTTAATCAAAAATACAGAAAAAAGCAGTAATATTGTGAAATATTATTACAATTCAAAATAACTGTTTTCTATTTGAATATATGTCCAAATGTAATTTTTCCGCTTCATTACTCCAGTCTTCAGTGTCACATGATCCTTCAGAAACCATACTAATATGCTGATTTATTATCAATGCAGCTTTGTTTTTAACATATACCACCTCTAAAAACTTTTAAAACATAAAAAACAACAATAAAAACCTTGTTTCTCACACATACTCAAGTCACCCAAAATTTTTTGCTATAATTTACCATATATTATTTGCTTTTGGCTGTGAAACACAGAATGAAATGATTGCCAGTGTTGTTTTCCATACAAGAAAAGCATGCAATGGGCATTTGAGCTCAAAAACGTACTATAAAACTAGTCCAAATGTGCATTATAATACGTTTTCTCATAATTCACTGATAACCTTTCCTCTTTTGTAGCTCTCGAATATCCCAGAGCATGTTCAATATGGTACATGGAGGCGTTTGGTAGGTTTAATGTCAGTTATAACAATTTGCATTGATTCTCGCACGTCACAAAAGAACGCAAATGAGATTAGGAGTTTAAATTAGGAGTTAAGAGCTGAAGCATAGAGCAAACTCATACATTTCTGACCCTTTTTATGTGAATATAGACAACTTTTATAGTGCAGTTCTGTCCTTTTAGGAGCTAGACAGCAGATTCTGATACAGGTTTGGAACGACATGACGGTGAGAAAACGATGACAGATTTTTCATTTTTAGTTGAACGAACCCTTTAAGAGCACAGAAAGACACATCGCGAATACCCGGCGAGATTGCTTTTAGGGGAGCTGTTGTCACGGTAACGGAGAGGGTTCGCTCTCACGCAGACTAAAGAGGGTTCGGCATGCAGTAAAAAACATCACCTGCTCCTCAGAGGCAAAAACACACTCATACCTCCATCTCTAGACTTTCTGCAACTAAACCAGGCAGTAGCAGAAACAAATCCCAATTGCAACGGAGACACAAAAGATGAGACAATGCGACAGAGTCACAACAACAGACCTAAAGCTTGTGTTACTTGAAAAGATGAACACTGTGCTGTTTACTAAGCAAGCATTACAGTTACTATTGCTCGTACCAAGGCTTAATGATCTGAACATTAAGCCTTAGTATGTGTTCCAGACACGAATGATTCCTCAAAAAATGTAGTTAAAATTCTGCTAACTCAAGTCAAATGGGAGTTTTAAAGGGATAGTTCACTCAAAAATGAAAATTCTGTCATCGTTTACTCACCCTCAAGTTGTTCCAAAGCTGTATGATTTTATTTACTGTACTGAACACAAGAAGATATTCTGAAGAATGTTGAAAAACAAAAAGTTGCCGATCAGGGTTAGGTGCTTCTACACCCTTGTTAATCAACTATCATTGCACATTGTTTTTAGGAATAAATTATGGGTAGAGTTAGGTTTAGGGTTAGGGATTGGGTTAAGTCTATATTTTTGGACAGTTATGCTGATCCAGGATCAACAAAAGATGTTGATCAAGGAACAGGTCTTACTTGGCAAAATCACGCTCTAGTATTTTTTTTCCATACTATGAAAGTCAATGGCTACCGACAACTTTTTGGTTAACAACATTCTTATTTTGTGTTCAACAGCCAAAAGAAGCTCATACAGGTATGGAATGACTTGAGGGTGAGTAAATTATGACAATTTTATTTAGGGGTTTTTAAGGTTTAAAGAGATTTTAAGACATTTTATCTTCTCTGCTGCTGTATTTCTCCTCCACTAAACCAACACTGTTCATAATCGCAGATGAGTCGCATTCGATTATGAACGCGATATTGCGTAGCTTGTCAGTGTAAGTGTTTTTATTAATGCCATTAATGTTTTGTTAATACAGCGTATAGCACTAGTCAACAACGGTAAATGAATGTAACATGGCAAAGATGAATGCACTTCTGGAGGTTGAATGTAAGGGAAATGTCATTTTGGAATTTCTGTGGTTTAATGTGATATTGTTGTTCATGTACGCTCATGATGAAATTCTTTTATTGTTGTAACTAATTTGTAGCATTAACAAGATGACCCACTGAATTCATTTTGGGAGCGATGACTGATTGAATGTATTTTAAGATGTATATAAGATTAGTATTGACCAAGTTCAGAGGCTGTCATATGTGGATCAACTTACTATGTTGTGTATTTTTAACAGTTTTAATATGAAAAATAACTTTTATATTGATTCAATAGATTTATTGCATTTTGAAGAAAAAAACGTGTCATGGATTTATTGCATTTTGGGGAAAAAATAATACAATTTTATAATAAATCTTTGAAAATCAAAATCTGGATTTGAATTTTTTTATGTTATTATAACCTAAAGATGCTATGTGAAAGTTTGAAACAGAAAATAGTGGTTTTCATCTTGCCACTTTCTTGGTAAAGAAAACACATTTTTACTCAAATTAATCAAAATGGATTTATAGTGTTTTGGAACCAAACTCTTCATATGTACTCACCAAATTCTCTGGAGACCATATGATCTGAGCTGCTATTCATATTCATTTTATAGCTCTATACTCTTTTTGGATGTCAACTATTAACTTGTGTGTCTGTTAAGTCGTGTCTAGGATTATTTCTCCTATGGAACTTAAATTGGGAGAAATACCCATAAAAGTTAATCATTAAAGAAAACAACTCAGAGCCATTAAGCCTCCTTTTGAGAATTAAAACTGCGTTGGTGAATGAAATGACAGTGACTTTAGTCTATGTTGCAGCATGCCTTGTGAGATGATCCAGGTTTTGGGAATTTGGCGTCTTTTGCATGATGCCTTTGGGCGAAAAAGTCTGGATGAATGATGATTTAACCAGCTCAAAGATAAATAATGATAATGTGATTAAAGCAGTGCTCAAAGAATAAACCCACTTGTCTGGAAAGCACACTGATTCATTGACAAAACATGATTTACACCTGTTTTCCCACACCCTAATGATACTTTAATGAGTCCAACACAAAGGCTGCTCTGTGCTGGCTCCAGTAAATGGGGTTTGAGTAGTGCTGTCAAATAATTAATCGTTATTAATCGCATACAAAATAAAAGTTTTTGTTTACATAATATATGTGTGTGTACTGTGTATATTTATCACATATATATAAATAGACACTCATGCATATGTAAGAAAAATATGTTATGTTTATATATTAATATTTTCTAAATATATACTGTGTGTTTATGTGTGTATTTATATATATATAATAAATATACACAGTACACACACATATATTAGGCCTATGTAAACAAAAACTTTAATTTTTTTATGCTATTAATTGTGATTAATCGTTTGACAGCACTAGGTTTTGTCAAGGTGTGAATATGACTTTCCACCAAACAATTCTGGAAAAGTTCATTCAAAACCAAGTTTTATGTATACGCAAAAGGCACAAAGGAAAAATAAAAGGGAATGTCCTTATCTGTCCAGAACTTTAATGTGCATTAGAAGTGAATTAAGACCCTGCATGATCTACTCACCAAAATATTCCTTTTTCGTGTGCATCTCGAGTTCCTTCTCCAGCTCCAGGGTGAGGGCCTCCAGGCGCCGCTCCGCCGGACTGGGGCCGCTGTCCCGGGATGGAGTGACCTGGTACGGCAGCTTTAAGCGCTGCCCCCCGGTGCCCATCTTCCCGTAGTTAAACACGATGTTGACGTCTGAATTCTGCTGCTGCGGCTCGGGAAACGCTTGGAGGTGGACGCGGTTGTTGTGGAGGCCGTTTGGCTCCGTAAAGTCCTGCAGCAGCGCGTCCTCCGGCAAACCGGGTCCCAGCATGGAGTGCTGGAGCTCGGGATACGCGCTCATGGAGCTCCGCGAACTCCTGGAGCTGTGGCTGCAGATGCTGGATCGGGGGCTGGTCATGGGGATGCCGTGCACCGCGCCGCTCTCCGGCTCGTGGTTCCCCGCGGGCGAGTAGCTGGAGCGCGGGCTTGTGGTGCTCGATCTGGGGCTGATGTGCCGCTGGTCGTAGCCCATGCTGATGCCGCTGGTTCGGTTGCTGCTAGGTTTGCTCCCGCAGTCGTAGCTGTTGAGGCTGGTTCTGGGGCTGGAGTGTTTGCTGGTGTCGCTGGCCGTGCTGGCGTAACTCGAGCGGGGGCTGATCACGCCGTTCCCCTCGCAGTACTTCTCCTGTCCGGGTGACACCAGGCTGGACCGCGGGCTGCTGATGCTCGACCTCGGGCTGGTGTGTTTGCTCTGGTCTTGCGACGAGTGAGACGAAGCTAAACTGGCCATGCATAAGCTGTTGCTCCTCACCTGCTTCCCCATAATGAGCGCGTCGTAGGCGCATCCAGCGCTGTACCTGTGCGCCTGCACCTCCGCCTGCGTGTATCTCCTGAGACGCTCCGACGCGCCGCTGTAACACGGCAAGGCAACTTCAGATTTGGTGCAGTGCGCGTCGGGATCGGGATAAACCGCGTCCCTTTGCGGAGAACAGAAATCCAGAGGCACTGAGGGTCGGTTCCCGTTGACGGAGCGCAGGGGAGCCGCGCCGTAGACTTTGTTCCCGTGCGCGGAGGAGCTGCCATTCATTCGTTTAGTTTTCTCCATATCGGGGTTCGGTTCCCCGTACATCCCGTCTTGATAAACGTCAAATATAGAGAGGTTTTCCATCAGTTTGCTCGCCGGATCCTCGTCATATCCATCCATGTCGTCTCTGAACGGGGGAGCACTAGTCAACTACAACACAAACTGCATTTTACGCGGAAAAACGCCGCCTCAGGCGAACCATCGTTGCCTGTTCGCGATTACTTAGTCCTTCTCCGTCATTCCGTCGCGATGCATGCTCCCCGCCTGTCGATTTGTGGCGATACGGTCGTCGTGACAAAGTTTCCACTCAAGAGAACGTTTGTCAATTTCAGGTTTTTGTAAAGTTGAAAGGTCTTTACAGTCAATGGCGCGCTGCGCGGAGGAATTTTCTCGCTTTGATTGTTCCTGGAAGCTCGTTTCCAGCAATTCCAGCTCTCCTAAAATTTCCCCCCGAGAATTTCGCATTAAACAGGACAGGTGTTGAACGCGTAGACGGACGAGTATGCGTGTATCAAACGATTCATTCGGGACTCGTTTGCGTGAGAGGAATGCGCGGAGGGAGACGGGCTGCGCTGCGGCGCTCTGGAATGTGGTTAATGCCGGAGCGAAACAATGATAGAGAGCAACTCAGCAAGGGGGAGCAGAATCCTGAAAAAAGCCCTTTAGAGAGTCTACGTGTGTCCACTTTCATCCAGAGGGACAGATTAAAGATTTAACCACACAGACCAGCCCACAGAAAATAATTAAAAACTACACAGAACATCTCTAAAAAAAACTTTAAACAACAAGCAACCCTTTATGCAACTGTTCTTGGGAGAGTAAAATGAGTATTAAAGAAATGCTCTTGTTCAAGTCTCTATACTGTTTGTAAAATCTACCTGGCTTGTGTTTCCCAGGTACCTCGTGCTCTGAAAACAACAGCACTAGCATGCACATACAGCAGGCCAGTGAAGGTTTGTTGAATCTGGGGGAAGGGCAGATCCCAAACATCTCATTGTGCATCAGTGACAAAGGCTATTGTCACTAACTTACATTTCCGTCACCATACAGTGGCCGCCACAAGTATTTAATTTTTTTTGACACTTGAGCCACATTTAAAATATCAGGTAGCACAATATCAAAGCAAGAGAGACTTATTGTAAGTATAGCTCAAGGTTTTCAAGTGAAATTTTTTTTTTAACTTCTAAAACAATAGTTCTGTATGACTGTGTGTTTGTAAACCATTTTGATAAATCATATGGTGAGCTACGCCTGAGGAATGGATGAACTTGATTTGATATTTTGTCTATACAATATAATTCATACCCTGTGCATAATTTAAAAAAAAATGTATTTTTATATATCTAATATATTCACACACTCTAAACTGAAAATCTGGGATAGATATTCACGTACAGCTGAAAATGAACAAAGTTTCAGGATTTTGGTGTTTCAGGATAGCTCAGTCTAACATGACACTAGCAATGCCAAGGTCATGGGTTAAATTCCCAGAAAGCATGAATTGATCAAATGTATGCAGTGTATTAATTATAAAAATGCATGAATGCAATTTAAAGCAAAGGCATAGCATAAAAAGAATAAAAAATTCAGTGCACTGTTATCATGCTGGAGAACATGATCATCAAGTTTTGTTCAGCGCTGCTGTCAGTTAAGCAAACTAACACACACACACACAAGACATTTTGAAATTCCTGTCATTTTTTCAATTTTTGCATTAAATTGTTATACTGATAATAAGTTGTACTGAAAAAAAAAAAACATATCACATACAGCAAATACAGTTTTTCTGGCAACCATTCTTTTTAACCAAAAAAAGACAATTTTATTCTTTTAAAGAAGCATTTTAATATTGTGTGTGTGTATATATATATATACACACACACACCTTGCTACGTGTACTGTGTTAGGCTAACCGAGACTTGTCATTTGCACTTATATATTGTTGCTCTTTTGTTAGTTTTGACTGATTTTATTGTCCTCATTTGTAAGTCGCTTTGGATAAAGGCGTCTGCTAAATGACTAAATAAATAAATAAATAAAAAATACGACTAATTTACAAAAATGAACTGACTTAAATGTAGATTTAAAGAGAAGAGATCATATTTACGCCAGCAAAGGAGACAGAAAAAAGCGTCAGATTCTGTGTACAGCACTGTTGTTATGATCATAGAGCGTCAGCAGACAAGGGGCGTGGTCTAGAGCGTAGTGGGCGTGAGCGACGTCGTGGGGGCGTGTCTAGGTGGGAGGATATGGGGTGTGATTTAAGCACTTACGTTGCTAACTACTTCTCCTCTCAGTTTGCTTAGCAATCAGCAAAAAGTGCATGTAGTACACCCCATACGAGGATGTCCATCGGCGTCGTTTCCACGATGACTAGCTAGCGTTAACGCCTCTCCGCTCGTCTCATATCCCGGGGAAGCGATTTCCGTTCAAGCGTGACCTACTCTTTGACATTTGGGCTTTATTTGTGTGTTTCGGTCGTTCATATCGACGCAGGTTGGCATCCTGGCACGAAACATGAACATAGCCGCGCTACTCCCGGAGGTCCGAGGACTTCAGACGGATGAGGTAAATTATTTCAGCTGTCATATCATGTGATGTGCCATATCAGTCATAGAAATTCTGCTGTGTTGCATAAACAGCAGTTGGGTGGCAGTCTACAGCTCGTGTGTGATACTGTCTCGGTGGGTTTCTGGTAGCGTTAGGAAGTTCTGCTCCACTTTGTGTTATGATAACTGTAATCATCAGTATGAGGGGTTGTGTGTTTAATTATGGCACATAACTGACCCACAATCATGTTTGCTTGCGCTTAAGAAAAGATGTGTTTGGTTGGGCCATAAAGATCCATTTCTTTCATGCTCATTATTGTCTTGTGACTCAAGTGAAGTATTGCGCAACATCTACTGTATCTTGTGACGTCACATGTCTTTTTGATCACATGTGGCATCTATAATTTCAGGTAACACTTTACTTGAAGGGGTGTGCATAAGACACCCATGCATAAACAACGTCATCTTTGCATTAAAAATTACATAACTCAGTTGTCATAAACATGCATAAAAAACTTCATATTCATGTGTCATGTAATGATTATGTAGGTGTCATGTCAGTCTTATGCACACCCCCTTCAAGGAAAGTGTAACCTAATTTCATTCTATTTCTTGTTTGTAGCTCTTTCTTGGGTGTTGCTATCATGTTCCACACTCTTTTTGAGATATAATCAGTAAACACGTCTAGTGAGAGTTTTGTATGTTACCGTCTATAATGGTCACTTACTCTTTAAAGCAAACTAAATAAAGTTCTAAGCAGACTGATTGGTCGAAATGTGTATTCATGCAAGATGACGGAATCAATATTTTGGTCTATTTTCTTGAAAGAAATAGTAGGCCAATTTAAAACTTCTTCCAGGAATTTAGACCAGAAATATTGATTACGTCATCCTGAATTAATACACATTTTGGCCAATCGCATGCTGTCTGGAATAAGAGTGTCCCTCCCACTTATGGGTCAAAGTCCCACTTAAATCCATCTGCAGTCATCAAGCCATTTTAATCAGGTTTTAACCATTCTCACATCTCCAGGGAGTTTAATCCTTGATGTTTGTGTTGCTTATTGAATGTTTTTGCTTTCCTTCAGGATGAATCCAGAATCTTAAGGGTGAAAGTCATTGCTGGAATTGGGTTGGCCAAGAAAGACATTTTGGGTGCCAGGTCGGTATATCAGATATTGTACCATGAAAATGACACTATCTCATAAATGATGACCAAAATAATGTCCAGGCGGATTAAACGGCCAACACTTGAGCATTTGGGACTGTCGGCATTTGACGATAATGCTAATATACAAACTGGCTTTTCAAAACATAAATATTGGGTAAAATGTTCTTATTTATTATTAGCAATCTTGTGTATAATTTGCCATTACATTATATGTAAATCAGCATTATATCGCTTTTTAAATATCAGCCGTCGTTGAAAAATCGATTGACTGCTAATTATAATCCTTCTTTGCTTGAATGAGAGGATGTGCTTTCTTTAAAAGCTCAGCTCACTTCTTGTATAGTACACGGGGTTTTTCCCATGATTTCATGCAACACTCACTGAGTGTCACATTTTGGGTGGATCAGTATAAAGTCAGTGCACAGGACATTAAGTGTTTGAGTGGTTTGCTTTGTGTGCCCGCTCCGCCAGCATCACGTTCACGTGCCATCAGTGTGTTACGAAAACATGAAATCGTTTGTATCCCGCATAATGGAGCTTCCGTTTAGACAATCTGACACTCTTGCAGGCTTCTATCTGTTCCTAAATGTGTTGTAAAAATTATAATAGCTTTTTTAACAGCCTGATAATTGAATTTCAGCCTTCCTGTGGATTCTTGAGCTTCATCGTGATGTTTATTACTCATTCGTTTTAGCTGAATCTTCTTTGAAAAATAACAACAAGGGACGAATACCACTAATGAAGTCAGAAAGACATTTTGGGTGCCAGGTCGGTATATCAGATATTGTACCATGAAAATGACACTATCTCATAAATGATGACCAAAATAATGTCCAGGCGGATTAAACGGCCAACACTTGAGCATTTGGGACTGTCGGCATTTGACGATAATGCTAATATACAAACTGGCTTTTCAAAACATAAATATTGGGTAAAATGTTCTTATTTATTATTAGCAATCTTGTGTATAATTTGCCATTACATTATATGTAAATCAGCATTATATCGCTTTTTAAATATCAGCCGTCGTTGAAAAATCGATTGACGGCTAATTATAATCCTTCTTTGCTTGAATGAGAGGATGTGCTTTCTTTAAAAGCTCAGCTCACTTCTTGTATAGTACACGGGGTTTTTCCCATGATTTCATGCAACACTCACTGAGTGTCACATTTTGGGTGGATCAGTATAAAGTCAGTGCACAGGACATTAAGTGTTTGAGTGGTTTGCTTTGTGTGCCCGCTCCGCCAGCATCACGTTCACGTGCCATCAGTGTGTTACGAAAACATGAAATCGTTTGTATCCCGCATAATGGAGCTTCCGTTTAGACAATCTGACACTCTTGCAGGCTTCTATCTGTTCCTAAATGTGTTGTAAAAATTATAAAAGCTTTTTTTACAGCCTGATAATTGAATTTCAGCCTTCCTGTGGATTCTTGAGCTTCATCGTGATGTTTATTACTCATTCGTTTTAGCTGAATCTTCTTTGAAAAATAACAACAAGGACGAATACCACTAATGAAGTCAGCAAATTGACTCTGTTTACTTTCTTAATACGCATTTCTAGTTTTATTGTGCATGTTTGTTCAGCTCATGCTTCATTCTGCTATGGAAAGCCCATCAGTCTGTTTCCGACGGGGAAAATCATGTCCCGCCCTACATTTTTTCTCGTTGAGTATCCTGTTTCACATTACTGAAGTAAAATAGGTTGCAGTTGCTTAACAGTCATTTAGGCCCAATCCCAATTCTATTTCTAATTATTGGGGGGACTAGCCCCCCTCAATGTCTACGGTGGTTAATCGCCCTGATCAGACATGAAAATGTTGTGGCACTATCGTGCAGTCTGTAATGATATGACGTTAGTTAGCAAATATTAGTGATTTTTTGCAAACATTTCTTTGAGTAACATGACCGTAATATGAACTCACGATTGAATGCAACATAAAACAAATTATTACTTTCCGTTAAAATCTTTATTAATGCCAAAAATGCTTACATTTATGTGTCTTTTTGTTCGCTCGGGCAGCCATGTTGCCGCTGAAGCCGGTTTACGCTGAGATAATTCATACCCCTTCGTTTGAAGTGTGGTCCCGAAAAATCTTCGTTTGAAGGGCTGTCTGGCCCTTGCCCTACCCCTACCCCTCCAACCAAAAGAGAATCGAGACACCCTACCCCTTCACGTGAACGCGCGAAACGGAGTGGTAGGCGAAAGGGGAAAGGCTAAGGGGTAGAATTGGGATTGGGCCTTAGTAGATTTAGGTTTGCTTTGCTTTGTAATTGCGTTGCAGTTATACATGCTATGATTCGTATTATGCATAGCTTGCAATGAACTGTAGGCCGATGGAAATGTCCCGGTTGCTGCCCGAGTCACATTGGTCAGGGTGGTACAGTAGATGGCAGTGTTAGCAGACGTCCTGGCCGTCCTTGAGGGTACGGACCGATCGGCCGTGCTCACTTTGACCTAAATAGCACAGCTCTAGGTATGCAATCGATATCTGTGCTGACTGAGCCATGTCATCTCTCCTTCACTTCAATACTTCCTCGAAAAAAAGGCCAGATATTCAGCAAAAACCTCAAATGAAAGATTGTGTGTTGCTTCCTCCTGATGCATGTAGGTTAAGTTGGTGACTTCAAGTTAATTAATCTGAATGGATTTGCAGGATAGGGATGAATACTTGTAACGGTTTGTAAAGAGATCCATAATCGCACGACTAGTAATCATAATATTCATTGCTGATCACATCCTGCCAGTTAACAGTGGAAAACCTGACTGCATTACTAAAATATTTAGTCCTGTATACTTCCTGTATGACTCAAAGATGGGGAATCTTTTTTCCATGAGTGCTTGTGTAATATGTTTGTTTTCCTTTCATCCGCAGTGATCCATACACAAGAATCTCTCTCTATGACCCTGTCAATGGAGAAATCACCAGTCTGCAGACTAAAACCATTAAAAAGGTGTGCGTGTACAAACTCTCTACTACACCATTCATCATTTTGTCAGGAGATGTTTAACAACATCTCTCTATGCTTCTGTCTTTCTTTTAGACATTGGATCCGAAGTGGAATGAGGAATTCTTCTTCAGAGTAAGTGAATGGGTATTTACAGAGATCATGTTTTTGTTACCTGGCTGTACTGTCAAAAAATGTCACCCCAAAATGAAAGGAGAAAAAAAAATTATATCAGTAGCCCAGGATAGAATTTCCCTACCTGGGGTTTGTAAGTTAATGAAATGCTAATAATTAATTAAATCGCACAAATGTAACATTAAAATAAATACATTTTGAAAAAATAATGAAAAACTTTGTTAATAGTGAACCGTGAACATGCGGTCTATTGTTAAATGATTGAAATATTAAATACAATTTCAGGGAGACTTGAAGTAAATATTTTAGGTAAAAAATCCCTTTCAATACTGTAATGCAATAAAAGTATTTAAATACATTTATTCATTTAGCAGATGCTTTTATACAAAGCGACTTACAAATGAGGAATACAAGCATTAATACAGTATTGAATATTTAATAGTACTTTTAATTTATGCTGATTTTAATTACAAAAAAAGTTGTCTACAAAGAAAAAAAAATCTGAAAATTAGCTTAAATATCATAAAAAATAATTCAGCGATTTTAATGAGCCTTAGCATAAGCTTTGTTTTTATAGTGAAAATCATATATATTTTTTCTCTTGCAGTTTTAGGGTGTAATGTACACCATCCAGACACTTCTTAATGAGATTCACCTGTAAAACATTTTGTTCTGTACCATAAGATCTCATATACACGCATGCTGTTTTTAGTTGTTTCCTACTTACTGAACTCTCTCTGTTCATCTTCATCACATTTAGATATTGTTAGTGATTCCAGTAATGTGTTCTTGGGAACTAATATTAAACAGATGCAGTCATTGTGTTTGGTAATAATAGAAAACGTTATGCAATACGGGCTGCTCATATTGCAACATTGGAAGCCTGTTTAAAAGTTCAAGGGTTTTATAAAACCATTTTTGCATTTTATATAAATGCACTATAATGTGAACAGCCAAAAAAAAGACAAAACGAGTGATAATGCTTCAGTCAAGTATGTGCAATGCTTACAAAGATTACGAATACCTTAGAAACCGCATCTGCATAGCAACGCCCTTGGTTGCAAACCACTTAAATCCTCTTTAGATAATGTAAAAATCTATTTTTTTTTTTAGTGAAGTACATCACTGAGTAGGATAGCTGTGTATATATAAGAGTTTATATCCTGTGGCGTTCCTGCTGAGTGTTTATCTCGGCTCTCTCGACAGTGTTTATACTAACCTGAGAATTACAGTCTAGCTCCGCAGAGCCGTCACATCTCTTACCACCACATTTCTTTATAGGGGAAAAGTGAGCCTGTCACAGGAGCCTGTCCTGCTAGATGTCAAATGACCAGAGATGAAACTCAGTGCGATGGTTTTATTTTGAGCCCCGTAAAATGGTTTATTCAGATAATTCTTCTAAAGCTGCACACAGCTCGAAACTTCACTTAAACTCTCCCAGAAGTCTATCGCTCAATTGTGAACAAAGTCAGCTGAATTCAGTCATGACCCACGTTTAGCCTGAACTGAGGTCTGATAGGGTTATAGAGAGATAGATGTGGTTGAATTCCTCGAAGTTCAGGGAAATGCATTGCCTTCTGCATATGTGTAGGGCTTCTTATTTGCATTGCATTTATGTAGTTTACATATAAAATAGTGATGTTACTAAGGGAGTTTTTCCAAGAAATGTGTTTATGTTGGACGCAACAGCTAGGGAATCATATCAGAGTGGATATCAGCATGACAATTTTACACCATCACATTTGTTCAAATCAAATCACCTTTATTATATAGTTCTTACATAACTCTGTTTTTTTTAAGCAGCTTCACAGTAATAAACAAGAAAATAACAGAATCAGTGATCAAAATTCATCATATATTAAACAAATTCTGATCTAAAGCAGCTCTAAAAAGACATTAGTGTCTGTTCCGCTCATTTCAGTTTAGTTTTGATTCAGTTCAGCATAAAGTTCATCAATTATGAAACAAATTCAGCTGTAAGCAGCATTATAGAAGACAATAGTTTTGTTATTTAGCTCGAGTCAGTTCAGTGTTGATTTGTTGTCGTGATCCAGAGAATTCAGAAGCAGTTAATTTTATATTTATAAATTCAAAGGAACTGCTAGAAAACTGTGCATGACTTACTTTTTTTTCTAATAGGTGAATTTTTTTTTTTTACTTAAGGACGTGCAGTGAACACTGATTTGTAATGTTTTCCCCTAAATGTTCCTGGTTAAATAATCTCTATTTAATTAAATGTCTTAAGTCGCTGGGGTATATTTGTAACAATAGCCAAAAATACATTGTATGGGTCAAAATTATAGATTTTTCTTTTATGCCAAAAATCATTAGGATATTAAGTAAAGATCAGTAAATTTCCTTCCGTAAATGAATCAAAACTAAATTTTTGATTTGTAATATGCATTGCTAAGAACTTCATTTGGACAACTTTAAAGGCGATTTTCTCAATATTTAGATTTTTTTGCACCTTCAGATTCTAGATTTCGACCAAATATTGTCCTATCCTAACAAACTATACATCAATGCAAAGCTTATTTATTCAGCTTTGAGATGGTGTATAAATCTCAATTTCAAAAAATTGACCCTTATGACTGGTTTTGTGGTCCAGGGTCACAAATAAGAGTCTGTTTGGGCAGCATGTAAAGAGAGAGGTGCAGTCACATGCTCTGGGGTCAGAGGTCAGGGGTTGAGTTACGGGGGGCATTTGAGATGAGGGGCGCCTCTTACATTCTGTCTGCTCTCCCTGCTGTCTTGTGATGAGCTGTGACGCATTTGCTGACGCGGTGTGAGTATCTCTTCTGTAGACATCGCTCATTTTCTCAGAAAGGATAGAGAGATGCATGTAAGGTTCCCTGGAAACAGGACTGTGTTAAGAGAAACCATTTCAAGATGTTATGAAGACTCATCATTGCTTTATATCAAGCATGCTGAAGACTGAAAATGAGTTTTGCTCATATTAAGCATGATTTGAGATGTTCCAAAAGAGCATTTTGAATTTCATTGAGTCACTAATCAATGTCATGCTTATTGTTTTGAATGGTGACCTAGAAATAGGCAGAATCTGAAGTATTTCTTATTCATTTTACGTACCTATTCTTTGTTTCTACATTTCAAAAGTCGTAATACTTCATACCTGTATTTTGTTTTATAAAATATCAAAATCTTTGCTATTTCCAGGTGCACAGAATCCTTGATTTGCAGTGTGGTTTCATACTTTTGGACCATGCTGTATATATGTGTGTAAAATATCCAATTTTTCCATGCAAAAAAAAAAAGTCTACTGTACCTGATATTTAATATGAATCATAACCAGATCCAGACAGTGGCATAAAAGCTTCTGGCCTATTTGTGATACTGACCACTGGCCCAAATACCAGCACGGGGACTTCATGATATGCTAAACGATAACACTGTCTGAGTCACGGGCCATTTACAGGCCTAAAGTCGAGGGTTATGAATGAATGAACAGTCCATCTGTCTTGTAACGAGACATCTTTTATTTTAAATATGTGACAATAAATTCACTGTATTACTCCATACATATATATATATATATATATATATATATATATGTGTATATACATATATATATATATATATGTGTATATATATATAACTATATTAACATTCTTGTGAATATTCACTTATTTTATTTGTCTTTTGTTTTCTCCCACAGGTGCATCCTAGGAAACATCGTCTGCTGCTGGAGGTGTTTGATGAAAATCGTTTGGTATGTACATGAATGCATTGATTTACTGTGATGTCAATCAAATCAGTTAGAGATGTTTGTACATTACTGTTCAAAAGTTTGGGGTCGGTACGATTTTTAAAATGTCTCTTCTGCTCACAGAGGCTGCATTTATTTGAAGAAAAAAAATCAGTAAAAACGGTAATATTACCAAAATTATTACCAATTCAAATATATGTTTTCTATTTTAATATATTTTAAATTGTAATTTATTTCTTTGATGTAAAGCTGAATTTTCAGCATCATTCCTCCAGTCTTCAGTGTCACATGATCCATCAGAAATAATTCTAATATGCTGATTTGCTGCTCGAGAAACATTTCTGATTATTATCAATGTTGAAAATAGTTGCGCTGCTTCATATTTTTGTGGAAACGGTGATAAATCTTTTTCAGGATTTTTTGATGAATAGTCCAAAAGAACAGCTTTTATTTGAAACAGAATTTTTTGTAACATTTTAAATGTCTTTAATTCAATGCATCCTCTGCTGAATAAAAATATTTTTTTATTTTTAGGTTGTGAAATATATTCTTTGTCCGGTCTGCTATTGAAGTATCAAAATTAGAGTTATGTATAATTTCTGCACCCATAGTGGCACCAAATGACATTGCAATCTGCTTTTTTTTTGAGTTGCCTGATAAAGAAATATTGACTTAACTACCATTAGACCATCAGATTGAGGCAGGACTGCTTGTTTGGCTTTACAATGGTAGACGTGTTCGATGGTAATGAAACATTACACAGTTCAACAGTCTCAAATATATTCGGCTTGTTAGTGTTGGGTTCAGGTCTGTAAAATCAGCAGCTACCTGAGCGTCAATGTGTAATAAATGAACAAGGATGCCTTTTTGCAAGTAGCCACCTTAAAGCTCAGGTCTGGGAACTGAAATTTACCTTTGGGTGTTGTTAAACGTGAAAAGTAACTGCTCTGAAACGCATAAAAGTGAATGAGGCGTGACCGGTGTTAGGGGGGTTCTCTCCGTCACACGCCTCCCTGAATAATGAGGAAGGTTAATAAAACGCTTGCATAAAAGACCCAGTGTTCAAGTAAGAACAGTAGCTCTTGATAAGACAATAAACCGCTGTCGCCCTCCTGCAAGTGACCGATAGCTTAACCCAGTTACTGGTTGTAAGAAAAACTTGTATGTCATTGCTAGAATGTGTTCGCTGGCATGAACCAAGCATGCACGCTATTTGTGTCTCCTGAGGAATGTGATAGCTTACAGAAAGGATGACAAATCCTTTCAGATCTCTTTTTGTGCAAAACATTTCTAGGTTTGTGCCAGTAGATAATGTTTCTTCTGTGATCAATCACACTTCATTTTCATTTGAAATTCATGCAATTAGCCTAGTCTTTGTTTTAGAATTCTAAAATCCTAAAACTTTATTTCCAGGCACACAAAATGCAGAAATCCCTGATTCAGTCTCACTTATATTGCATTGTGATTTGAAATGCGTGCAATTACCCCATTCTTTGATTTAGACTTGCAAAATCCTAAAACTTTGATCATTTCCAAGTGCACGAAATGCAGAAATCCCTGATTCAGTCTCTCTTATATTTCATTGCGATTTGAAATGCATGCAATTTCCCCATTCTTTAAAAACATAAATATTGTGAAACAGTATTACCATTTCAAATCAGATTGTAAAATGTAATTTATTGCTGTGATCAAAGCTGAATTCACAGCATCATTACTCCAGTCTTGTGTCACATGATCTTCAGAAATCATTCTAATATGCTGCTCAAGAAACACTTCTTATTGTCAATGTTGAAACTGTTCATCTTTGAAACAGTTGGTCGGAGAATGCAGTAAAAACATAAATATTGTGAAACAGTATTACCATTTCAAATCAGATTGTAAAATGTAATTTATTGCTGTGATCAAAGCTGAATTCACAGCATCATTACTCCAGTCTTGTGTCACATGATCTTCAGAAATCATTCTAATATGCTGCTCAAGAAACACTTCTTATTGTCAATGTTGAAACTGTTCATCTTTGAAACAGTTGGTCTACTTCATATTTTTTGTGCTTTTAGGATTCTTTGATGAATAGAAAGTTCATTAGAACATAATTTATTTGAAATAGAAATCTATTGTAACATTGTAAATGTCTTTACTATCACTTTTGATCAATTGAATGCATCCTCTGCTGAATAAAATTATTCATTTATATTTTAAAAAAATCAGTGCCCAAACTTTTGAATGTTAGTGTAGATGAGAGAATTGAAGCTTAAATTAACAGATTTTTAGGTTGTGAAATTATCATTCATATATTCTTTGTCCGGTCTGCTACTGAAGTTGCAAAATTGGTGTTATGTATAATTTCCACTCCATTAGTGGCACCAAACGGCATTGTAATCTGCTTTTATTTTATTTTTTTCTGTTGCCTGATGTAGATATATTGGCTTAACCAGTAGCATTAGCTTTAGACAGGACTGCTTGTTTGGCTTTATAATGTGAAATATGGAAGATGTGTTAGATGGTAATGAAACCTTATACAGTTCAGCAGTATCAAATACATTTGGCTTGTTAGTGTTGGGTTCAGGTTTGTAAAAACATCAGCTACCTGAACGTCAGTGTGTAATGAATGAACAAGGATGCCTTTTTGCAAGTAGCCACCATAAAACTCAGGTCTGGAAACTGAAATTTACCTTTGGGTGCTGTTAAATGTGAAAAGTAACTGCTTTAAAACACATAAAAGTGAATGAGGCATGACTGTGTTAGGGGGGTTCTCACCCTCACACGCTGAGGGCGTCCTCCCTGAATAACGAGGAAGGTTAAACAAACGCTTGCATAAAAGACCCAGTGTTCATTTAAAAACAGTAACTCTTGATAAGATAATAAACCACAGTTGCCTTCCTGCATTTGACAGATAGCTTTACCCCCTTACTGGATGTAAGAAAAACTGGTATGTCATTGCTAGAATGTGTTTGCTGGCATGCGCCAAGCATGCATGCTATTTCTCTCACCTGAGGAATGTGGTAGCTTACAGAAAAGGATGACAAATCATTTTAGATCTCTTTTTGTGCAAAACATTTCTAGGCTTGTGACCGTAGATAATGTTTCTTCTGTGATCAGTCTGACTGCTGTTTCATTTTCATTTGACATGCAGTTACCCCATTCTTTGTTTTAGAATTTTAGTTCCAAGTGCACAAAAAGCAAAAAATCCCTGATTCAGTCTAACCTATATTGCATTGCAATTTAAAATGCATGCAGTTACACCTTTTCTTTGTTTTAAAATTCCAAAATTCTAAAACGTTGTTCATTTCCAAGTGCACAAAATGCAAAAATCCTTTATTCAGTCTCGCTTACGTTGCATTTCAATTTAAAATGCAAGCAGTTACCCCTATTCTTTACTGTAAAATTCAGAAATCCTAAAACTGTTCATTTCCAAGTGCAAAAAAAGCAAAAATGGCTGATTCAGTCTCATTTATATTACATTGAAATTTAAAATGCAAGCAATTACCCCTATTCTTTACTGTAAAATTCAGAAATCCTAAAACTTTAATTTCCAAGTGCAAAAAATGCAAAAATGGCTGATTCAGTCTCATTTATATTACATTGAAATTTAAAATGCAAGCAATTACCCCTATTCTTTTTTGTAAAATTCCGAAATCCTAAAACTTTATTTCCAAGTGCAGAAAAATGCAAAAATTGCTTATTCAGTCTCACATATGTTTCATTGCAATTTGAAAACTTTGTTCCTTTCCAAGTGCAAAAAATCGCTGACTTAGGCTCATTTATATTTCATTTACATTCATGCTGTGAGCAGGATGATTTCCCGTACTGGTCCTGTGCACTGTGGTAACTGCAATTACCCCTCGTGCAACTGACCCTGATTGATGAGATGGCATTTCTCTCTGACAGAAGCATGGTCTTAAATGGCTGCCACGTGATGTGGCACATGTCCATATGAGAGCTGGCACAACAAGCTCAGTATTTGATTTGGAGGCACTTTTTTGGCACAAACAGGCTCGATTACTTCTGCTACTTTCACATTTGTAGATCAAGCTATCATGTGTTCAAGCCGTGCATGGTTGGAAGTGCAGAAATAAGCCAAACGCTCAGTTTACGAGCTTGGCGGTTTCAGCAGCTCGTAACACCCTGTTCCCCACGTAATCTCCAACGTACTGTATGTGGATGCTTTTGAGAAAGCTTAAAATTATGCCAAACCCCGTTCCTCTTTATTTCCTGTAACTCTATCCTGGTGGGGTAAAAATATTAGCAGGGGTGCAACTTCACTAGAAACTTTAGACACTGGGCTGCCACTGCTGAAGAGTCGAGGTTTGCTAGAACGGGGTGAGCTGTTCCACCTCCATCCTGGCATGCACGCAGATTGTTGTTTTTTGCACTGGGGTGACCGGCAGCTGGGGGAGGGAGGGCACCCGTGCCTGAATCGGTGCTTGCGAAACTACAGAAGGCACAGCTGAGGCACTCCAGAGGTCTGGCACAGTAGAGCCCTTTGCAGGGTTTCTGAAGCAGTTGCTTCAGTAAAGCTCTCGGAGTTCGCCGTTATCCTTCTGAGAACTTGAGCTGTTCTTCATGGTGCATTTGACCTGTCATGGTTGTTAGCTTCAGAGGAGGAATGCTGCTTGTCACTGCTGCTATTTTTGCAATGTGCAACCGCTAATGATTGCAATCGCAGAACGGGACCAGGAGCAGTTGCTTTTTGCTGATCATTTTTTACTTGCTTGTTTTGGCTTTGCCATGTCCTGCTTCCCACCGGATCCCCGGGAAGCTTGATTTCATGGCGCGACAACTGCGACTGCATTTTGCTTCGCGGAGAAGCAACACTGACCCGCTGTCAGAGACTTGCACTGGTCACTCCGAGGAAAGCGGGTTTACAAATACCGGCCGTAGCTCTAGCGAGGGCCTGGTGCAGAGTTCCCTCCACATGAAGGTGACTCCAGGACAGCTGGCTCTGGCTTTGCCACCCTTGTCACCAGAGTACGGTAATTTACAGCGGCACTCCACCGTATTTATCCCCAAGGTGAACGTGAGCAGGAAAAGCATGCTGCAGATCTCCTTGCAGCCTTGCGGAGGAGACGGAGAGCTCGCCAGCTGCGAGAGCGGAAACGGGGATGGAGGTTCCTGCAGCAGCAGCACCACTAGCGATGCCGGCTACTGCAGCAGCAACAGCATATTTGAAGCGGACGTTCCAGATCGCAAGGCAATTTCTCGGCGGAAGGCGAGGGCACCATTGCGGCGTTGCTCGTCCTTAGTGATTTTCCCACGGAGCCCATGCACCACGCCGCCCGCATCCCCCGTCAGTCCGGTAGCGTCTCCCATGATTCCTCCGCTGCCTCCATCTGCGCGAAGTTCCTTTCAGACCTCTCATCAGATGCAGCTGTCCAGCGTTGATGCATCGCATGATGAAACATCCAAGGGATCCGTCGCCACTGCAGTTAATGGTCTGCGGCTCTCCAAAACCAGTACGTCAGCAGAACACAGGGACGCCAAACCTATCGTGCATTTCAGCGTGCCTCCGGAGCAACCGCCAGGACCAGAGCGAACGGAAAGACACTCCAGCGTTGTATTGCACTTCGCAAGCCAGCGACCACTTCCCTCAGGGAAAGGAAGTTCAGCCAAAACAAAGGTTAGCATCGACTGTTCCAAACCTCTCGAGGGCCCACAAACCGACAACGTCCCGGAACCCCAGAAAGCCAGGCTTTTCCGGAGTACCTCAGCCTGCATGCTGCCAAGCGGAAGGCTGTCGTCGACGGAAAGAAGACACAACACTTTTCCGACATTGGATAAGTCCTCAAGAAAAGGGTCACATCACGTCCTTCACAGGAGTATTTCTTTGGAGGTACCCTGTGCAAACGCTGAGATTTCTTGTCGCGTTTCAAATGCTGCAGACATGCACTCCATAAATGTCCCTCCGCACGTACACATCCACGTATCTCACGGCACAAGTGCAAGAAAATCAAACACCCTGCAGGACAACAGCATAAATGGTGAAACGGATCATGTTCCAACCTGCACGGAGAAAAATTATACCGTAAGCCTTTCCATCTATTAGCAAGTGAAAAATCAGTGACTCCAGGACAGCTGGCTCTGGCTTTGCCACCCTTGTCACCAGAGTACGGTAATTTACAGCGGCACTCCACCGTATTTATCCCCAAGGTGAACGTGAGCAGGAAAAGCATGCTGCAGATCTCCTTGCAGCCTTGCGGAGGAGACGGAGAGCTCGCCAGCTGCGAGAGTGGAAACGGGGATGGAGGTTCCTGCAGCAGCAGCACCACTAGCGATGCCGGCTACTGCAGCAGCAACAGCATATTTGAAGCGGACGTTCCAGATCGCAAGGCAATTTCTCGGCGGAAGGCGAGGGCACCATTGCGGCGTTGCTCGTCCTTGGTGATTTTCCCACGCCGGCCGTAGCTCTAGCGAGGGCCTGGTGCAGAGTTCCCTCCACATGAAGGTGACTCCAGGACAGCTGGCTCTGGCTTTGCCACCCTTGTCACCAGAGTACGGTAATTTACAGCGGCACTCCACCGTATTTATCCCCAAGGTGAACGTGAGCAGGAAAAGCATGCTGCAGATCTCCTTGCAGCCTTGCGGAGGAGACGGAGAGCTCGCCAGCTGCGAGAGCGGAAACGGGGATGGAGGTTCCTGCAGCAGCAGCACCACTAGCGATGCCGGCTACTGCAGCAGCAACAGCATATTTGAAGCGGACGTTCCAGATCGCAAGGCAATTTCTCGGCGGAAGGCGAGGGCACCATTGCGGCGTTGCTCGTCCTTAGTGATTTTCCCACGGAGCCCATGCACCACGCCACCAATGCTGCAGACATGCACTCCATAAATGTCCCTCCGCACGTACACATCCACGTATCTCACGGCACAAGTGCAAGAAAATCAAACACCCTGCAGGACAACAGCATAAATGGTGAAACGGATCATGTTCCAACCTGCACGGAGAAAAATTATACCGTAAGCCTTTCCATCTATTAGCAAGTGAAAAATCAGAATGCACTAATTCACTTAGTTTTATCTTGCACTTTAAAACATGCAAAGTTAAAGTCAGTGAGTGTAAATAGTATTTTGGCCTAAAATTGCATTCAAATTGAGTAGATTTGTGAAGACATGATTTGTAGAGTCGGCTGCGTGTTTCCAGTGATATTTCTTTGGAGGTACCCTGTGCAAACGCTGAGATTTCTTGTCGCGTTTCAAATGCTGCAGACATGCACTCCATAAATGTCCCTCCGCACGTACACATCCACGTATCTCACGGCACAAGTGCAAGAAAATCAAACACCCTGCAGGACAACAGCATAAATGGTGAAACGGATCATGTTCCAACCTGCACGGAGAAAAATTATACCGTAAGCCTTTCCATCTATTAGCAAGTGAAAAATCAGAATGCACTAATTCACTTAGTTTTATCTTGCACTTTAAAACATGCCAAGTTAAAGTCAGTGAGTGTAAATATAAGTAAGTATTTTGGCCTAAAATTGCATTCAAATTGAGTAGATTTGTGAAGACATGGTTTGTAGAGTCGGCTGCGTGTTTCCAGTGATAGCGGTGATTGTTTTGTTGTCATTTATTAGTTGTTTGTACGTCTATGAATTGAACATTGAACAATATACATAACTATTCAGAAACTTCTCTTCCCTTGAACTTGCATGTAAAGCTTTGCTTTTCAATATTAAAGATATGCAGATACACATCATTTCAACATAGGATTGTGAAATACCCAAATAAATTGCAGGCAATTATTTATATTTGTGTAACAATAGCCTATATATGTGTCTTAAGTTGCTGGGGTAGCTAATTTCAGTCCCTTTGCATTTGTTTGTTATTATGTGTATCACTGTGAGCAAACATTCAGCAGAATGTATTTGCAATGTACAAATCCCTTTAGGCAGGTTGGCTAATGGACAAGTATTTTAAAAATGCATTGTAGCTAAACCAGTTGCATGCATGTCGCATTTTTTAGGCTTTTTCAGTTTTTTTTATTTAACACTTTGATCCCTGTTTGTATTTACCTATGGGATCATTTCCATTTAGATAGGTTGACTTATAGACGAGCATTTTAAAAATGCATTGTAATTAAACCAGTTGCATGCATGTCACATTTTTTAGGCTTTTTCAGTTTTTTTTATTTAACACTTTGATCCCTGTTTGTATTTACCTATGGGATCATTTCCATTTAGATAGGTTGACTTATAGACGAGCATTTTAAAAAATGCATTGTAATTAAACAAATGTCACATTTTTTAGGCTTTTTCAGTTTTTATTAATTTATTAACTCTCTGAGTGATCACTGTATGAATGTACCTATGGGATAATTTCCATTCAGTTAGGTTGGCTTATACACAAACACTTTGTAAAATGCACTGTATTTAAACCAGTTGCTTGCATGTCGCATTTTAGAGGCTTTTCTGTTTTTATTCATTTGTTAACAGGCACTGGTACAAGAGTGATCACTGTATGTATTTACCTATGGAGTAATTTTCATTTAGGCAGGTTGGCTTATAGACATGCCCTTTAAAAATGCATTGTTACTAAACCAGTTGCTTACATGCATATTACATTTTACAGACTTTTTCAGTTTTTATTAATTTGTTAACACTCTGAGTGATGACTGACTGTATATGTACCTATGGTATCATTTTCATTTCGATAGGTTGCCTTATACACAAGCACTTTAAAAATGCATTGTGGTTACTAAACCAGTTGCTTACATGCATATTACATTTTACAGACTTTTTCAGTTTTTATTAATTTATTAACTCTCTGAGTGATCACTGTATGAATGTACCTATGGGATAATTTTCATTCAGTTAGGTTGGCTTATACACAAACACTTTGTAAAATGCACTGTATTTAAACCAGTTGCATGCACCTTGCAGTTTAGGGGCTTTTCCAGTTTTTAATAATTTGTTAACACTCTGAGGGATCACTGTATGTATTTACCTCTGGAATAATTATAGACAGCGGTCCCTAAGCCTCCCCACAGCCCTAGGTCTATAAATACACAGCTTCGAAAATACTCTGCTTGACTCCAGTTAGTCTGGCCGAGTACCACGCTGGCGAGCTCTCAGGATTCAACATGATATGCAGGGGCTGCACATGGCTGTCTGTCAGCTGTTGGGCCAAAGGTCAGCTGATGGGGGAGAGTATGAGTGTCAGGTAGACGGGGGCCAAACCACGCGGTTCCTTTGCAGTAAAGGATAACATGTTCGCTGCCCAGCGGGTACTCGCTTAGCCTTGGTATGTTTTCAGAGCATCAGGTGTCTCGCTCACTGCTTATTTCATTTGCACTCTGTTTGTCTCTGATTTTACAGTGTGTTAGAAACAGGTCGCACAAGCAATTAACAGCGCCGTTACCTTTACTGCTGCTGCACTCTTATGTAATCTAATCTAAATTCATGGCTCTAATTTCAGCATGCTGGTTGTTTGTCCATCTCAAACACATAAACATATTGTTCTTCTCATAGCTCATTCAGATGTTTAGAGAGTATGTCAGGTAAATGGCTGCAACAGCAAGACAATACAATACAATATCATTCAGCTCCATAGCTGCATGCAATATTCTGCACTAAAGTTATTGTGGATCTTGCATAACATAATGATGGTCCAGGACTCTACCTGGTATCTGGTGCTCAGCCAGGGGATCTGGAAACCTCTCAGTGTAATTTGATTCAGTGTGTTATGTTATGAGCTGCTTTTGATTCAACAGTCAGATGGTATCTACACATAAGAAATGCAACTCTTAGCAAACGTCTTTTGAGTCTGAGGTCCCTGGTTGTTTAAAACAATATTCAGTGTCAAACTTTTTTATTTTACAGATGATATATAAAAATGTGTATATACTGGCAATATATAAAAATAATAAAATAAAGTATGAAATGAATTAAAAGTTAAAATAATTAACTTCTCTAATTCCAGAATATTGATTCATTTGTTTATTACTGAGTATTAGCAATTTCATAGCAATTCGTTTTTTTTATGTAAATTTAAAAATATTTAAATATATATGGCTTTTTAATATTGAATTAATTTCCTCACCTTTATCAGGTCTAAAAATCCACTATGAGTGGCGAAATATAAAAAGAAGTAAATTTTAAAAAGTATAAGTAAAATAATGAACTAAATGAAAATGACTAATTTCTATAACTAGAATATCAATATATTATTATTATTATTAAGAATAATAATAATAGTAATTATTGTACTGACTAATAGCAATTTCTACTTCATAAAAAAAAAAAATATATATATATATATATATAACAGTTTTTTTGGAACAAAATAAATAAAAAAATATGATGTTAGAGTACATCTCCGTGTTTAGCTGTTTTGGCGTACTTTACTGCTTTTTTGTCTTATTCTACATTATTTTAAGTCATCTTGCAGTCCCCAGGTTGAGAATCACTGGTTTAAATGAACATGAAGGATAAAGTAGTTGTGCAATGTGTTATGTGTGTAATTTATGTAGTTTCCTGTAATCTAGCTTGAGTGTTTGCTCGCGTTCAGAAAGCTGACACAATCCTGTCTCCAGGCCTTTGACCAAACAGACATTTCAGCTGTAGAAATGCATAGAGCAGGTCCAGATTGGGTCTCGGGTCCAACTGTAGATCACGGTTCTTCTGTTTCCTGCTCAAGGACATGGTCACACCTTGTGCTCGCTGACGGGAATGGTTAGCACATGACTGTGTGACCTCTGCCAAAGGTCAATGCAAGCAGCACTCAGCAGCGCTCCTAAAGAGCTGTCAGATGTGTGCGTGTTCGAGCTCCGGGGGGTTGTTAGTGTGTGAATGTGTTGTTTTTCCACAGCACTTTCTGTGCTCGATTAGCTCTTATCAGTCAAGAGCGCAGCACTCGTAATCTCTTCAGCGACGTCTCTCCTCCCACAGTGCTTGAAAACCTAATGGATTTATGAAAATATTTAGATCTCTCTCTGTAACAGCTGCTTGATTGTTCTTTTGTGCACGACTCTTCACTATAATGTTTTTTGTTTAGAATTTTTTTTCCCCCATTTTTTTATGATCTTTAATCGAAATGCAACAAACTCCTTTTAGTTTTTTTAGTTTATATAAAACATCTCCTGGAAGATCAGAAATGAGCACAGTCTTTGTTCAGTAGCGTTTGGATGTGATGCGATCCTGAGGAAATGCAGTAGTAAACCCACAGTCACGCTCCTGTTGTAGCAGAAAATGGTTCACTTTGAGCCTCCTTCATTAAGTTTCTTCAAACGTTTGGCATCATTTACTGTTTTCCTTCTCATTACCTGGGCAGACGGGCCTGATCGTATACAGATAGTTTGACAACAGTTTTCCATTTTTGCCTCGCTAACGTTTTGCCTTGTTTCACCATGGATAAAGTTGGTGTACTTGCCGTAGTTTATTGTAGTAAACCTGCTACTATATTTGCTCTACTCTTGCATACTTTGCCAGCATTCCGGCAAGTCTATACTATGCTATACTATAATATACTGCAGTACTATTAATGCATGTCACAATTTTTACATCTAACAGCTTTCACCTCAGTGGAACATTTTCCAGAACGTTGTCTAGGATTTTTAAAGATATTTAATAATTTTTATATACATTTTACATATATTATTATTTTTTCTCTTTCTTTTTCTCTTTCTTTCTTTCTTTCTTATTTTAATTCATTTATTAATTACAATTAATTATTTTTTATTTATTTTGCATTAATTTTATTTCATTCATTTTCATGAATATTTTTTTTTCATTTTTATAAAAAAAAATCATTTTATATATATATATGTGGGAAGTCATATATGTGAAATATCCCTCATGCTGAGCCAAAAATAAACTAATTAATTAATTAAATACATAAATAAACTACTGCTACTATTACTACTACTACTACTACTAATAATAATAATAATTAAATTATTATTATTTTTTTTTTTTGCAGTTTGAAAGAGGGAAACTGATTTGTATTTGGTAGAAGGCTAATTGTTATAAGGTAAAATAAATATATAGTTGTATAAAAATATAAAAAAATGCTAAATACACTCTCATAGCCATTAAAAAAACTATTTAACATTAAATTAAACCATTTATCTTAATAAAACTATGTAATTATGTAGTACACTCTTAAAAATAACGTTGCTTCAAAAGGTTCTTCAAGCGATGCCATAGAAGAACCATTTTTGGTTCCACAAAGAAGCATTCAGTCAAAGGTTCTTTAAAGAACCATCTCTTTCTTACCTTTTTGTAATCTGAAGAACCTTCTTTCACCCCAAAGAAGCTTTTGTGAAACAGAAAGGTTCTTCAGATGTTAAAGGTTCTTTATGGAACCATTTAGACAAAAGAGTTCTTCTATGGCATCGTGAAGCACCTTTATATTTAAGAGTGTACCTTGTGTCATATCTAGCTCAATAATAACTAAGAAGACACTAACAGAGCTTTCTCCCAACTCGCTTTCATTTCATTGACACGGGGGCACATAGAGCGAGTCTGTCGTCTCATCTGGGGCCCGGCGGAGTGGCAGAACCGCTTTGTGGTTTGACCCGAATACAGAATAAACAGGAATATGTGAGGCTGGCCTTAAGAACGAGGGAAGATATGTGTTTTAGTCATCATCATGACTTTATAAGTGCTGTAAAAACCTGAACGACCTTTTGATAGTGAGCAAGTCATTTGCTAGGAAGCTGTATGTAGATGGATACATTTTAGCGTAAGGTCAGTCGTTATTTCGTTCTGCCCTCACTACCATAAAACGAAACATCTGACAGCGTTTTAAACACCGAAGGCTTTTACGCCTCATTTAGGTGACGGGTATTTAACTTGTCATATTGTTTCGGTTAGCGTAATGACAGCGTGTATATAAAACGTGGTATAAAATGTATTTAAAATGCTTCTAAGCTCAGTATGAAAGCCAGCCGTTGAAATGAATAGCGGCAGCTGGAAAAAGTTTTAGGATGAGAATGATTTTGTTCCGAAAACAAACTCTCTCTCTTTCGCGCTCCCTTTGTTTTTGCGTTCTCTCTCGGCCTACTTTTACCTTCTCTCTATTTTTGCAGCTCGTTCGCAGTCTGAGGGATAGACCACGGGGAAGTCTACCTTTATAAAGCCTTGTTTATATATAACACGTGTATTTATATCTCTGTAAACAATGAACGCACTGTACAGTCTCAGATAAGGTCAATTTCTTCATAACACACTAGGGGTGTAACAATATTCAAACCAAACCCAAAAAAAGGCGATACACCACCAAACCCCCCACCAAAATAGTAAATCAGTGACGACTTCAGCTAAATGCACAGCACAGGCTTTGCTGTCTCGTGTTTGTGTCTGTGCATCATTCTGAAACCACACAGCCTATCCGCTAGATGGCGCTGTCAACTACAGGAACAAAACGCAGAAGAAGATAGTTGTTTATCTCGGTGAAGTGGCAGCAGTGTTAAAGCTCGAGTAGGTGATTTCGGAGAGGTTAGCAATAGCAAGCTAGTTTTGTAAGCATAAGATCACATCCTCCCTGCATAATCAGTCTCCAAAGCCACGCCTCCACATGACCGCGCACAGGCAGAGCAGAGGCAAACTAGCGACATGATGAGACACAACGTCAGCGCTGTCAAATTAATTCGTCTCATTCAACAGTGAGAAAACGTTCCAGTACAAAGTGCATAATATTACAATAATAACGCCTTTCATTCTCGCTCCGTCTGCAATAGCGTAATAGAATGGAGATACGCGGAGGAATGCAAGTACATGCGTTGACAGGCAGGTAGAACAGCCTATCGCAGTCCTCGGACCGAGGAATATGAGTGGACGAACATTTTATGGTCCTATGCCTTCCACAGATGATATAAATACATTTAGACCACTTAACTTAGTGATTGGCTATCGGGATGTGAAGAGACTTTAAACCAGCAGAACATTAGAAGGTCCACCTCATATGTCTTCAGAGAAGCTCCGGTTTTTTATGGCACCGTAATAATAAACCTTCTGGTTTTGGAGCTGCTCAGTTGCACCTCATTATTAGTCACTGTGAACATTAAAGTCTGTTTATATATATACGTGGTGTGTGTGTGTTGCTTGGCTGAGTGATCATAAACATTAAGACTTAAAAATATCCATGACACTTGACACTTTACTTCGTAGACTATTTCCTGCATGGGTTATTTGTAATGAATAATTTTTAATTTGAGCAAAATTCATGCTTATTTATTTAGGCTGCTGCTAATATTTTGATCTTTTTTTATACACACAGACAGAAAATCCCAACAATGAAAGGCCGTACACTTTCAAGGACTTCCTGTTGCACCCGAGAAGGTTAGCCAGAGATTTCACTGCCTGCATGCTTTATTCCCCAAACGTGATGAGTTTTTAACCTAACGCTCACTTACTTAATTCTGTTGATGTTGTGAAAGGCCCTTTGACCTGCTATGACATCATGCAACTGTGAACTGTTTTCATTTCAAACATGTACATGTCAACACTTCTGATACACTTCAGTGGAGTTTTATGTTTAAAACTGGTATGTTTTTCTGGTAATTCGATGTAGGTCTTTTGTTGATGTGTTTGTTTAACCCTTTCGATACAGTCACAAGTCGAGGGTGAAAGGTCATCTGCGACTGAAGATGACATACCTGCCCAAAAACAGCGACACGGAGGACGACCCAGCCAAACAGAACGAGAATCTGGATGTAAGAATAATGCACACAAACACAAGCTTTGGTGACAATAGTGCGATTTTTCCGATTTTATCGATTAATTCGAATTTATTGTTTTGCCACGATAAAATTTTTTAGAAATCGAGGAATCGCGATTTTGAATAGAAATATTACCAAATGTTAGAATTAGACACTTTGACAATATGCCGGTGATAACAGTAAAGAGAAAAGAACGATCCAACCGCGTGTCGGCGCACGTGATTAACCACCCACATGTGACGCGCTCTGGGATGGACGATAAATTTAGCGTTAGGCATCATTCACACAGCGCTTTTGTGTTGACAAAGATGCGACGCGGGCAGTGGAATAGGTAAAACATGCAAGAAGACGGGAGTGAACTTCTTTTATCTTGAGTGCAGTGTTTTTAGAATGGATTTCATGCATGAGACGCTGCAAGAGACGCGAGCGCAACAGTCAAACACATGTTTACACAGAAAAAACAATGGAAAAGCAGCACAATCTAATAAACCTGTAAAGAACTACTACTGTATGTCTGATATTTCATGTTTGCTTCATGGTGACCGGCTGAAAGCTGCTGTTGTTTTTACAGAACATTTATAGTTAATAAACGTCTACTGGTGTTATACCTTCAGTCATTTTGAATTTGAATTACCTTGACTTTTGAGATTTTCTAAAAGAATTGCCCTCGTTTTATTTCTGAACACATATGTATAAGACAAGTTTGTACAATATGTAGTTGTAGTTTTTGCATCTTTTCTGCAAAGATATGTAACAAGTGATTTGTTTAACATTTACATCATGTTAACAACCTCATGTGTGCTGCACTTGGAATAGAATATTCTTTAACTAGAGGGTTAATAAAGAAAAAGTAACTTGAATCATGTTGTAGTAGTTACATTTTCAAGTTGACTAGTTAAAAATCGAGAATCGCTCAAACATTCTGGAAAAATCGAGATTTAAATTTTTTTGCAAAATCGCCCAGCCCTTGGTGACTAACGCAACAATTTAATTCTAGAATCAAAGAATGTTCTCTAAAAGAACTAGAACGAGTTAAAGTTGCAGTATGGTGAATAATATAATAGCTGAAGGACGTTGCTCATTGTGTTCAGCTATGACTACATTCACAATATAATATGGCTGTATGTATAAAGCACAATTGATGATTTTCATCAGTTTCAATGTGGCTTATCTGGTCTGATTTGTTTGTAAGAAGTATCTTTACTGATGTAGTTTGCAGCAGCGCTTCCTTCAAGTATGTGTGTTGAATGGAGAGGCCATGAAAACATTTTATATTCCTCCATCTGCACTTTCTGTTGTGGCCTGTCCTTGAATGAGAAGTGCTATGTTTCCTTAAGCACAATTCTGCCTTATTCACAAAGCTTTTCAGACATTGAAACCTTGTGCTGTGGGTTTATTCCTTAGCAAAATGACAGATAGACAGATTTATATGTGCTTAAAGAGAAAAACAGGAATTATGATTGTTGGTTACATATTTATTTGTATTTGATTCTGTTGTTGAATTTCACATGAATGTAGTTTAGTTATTCAAACACCACTGTTACTATAGTTATATTTGTTGTTAGTACATTAAATATACATTTTGCACTTTTTTTTCCTGGGAAACATAATATTATGTAAAGATATTAAATTTAAGGTCAGGATTATTTAGTTTTTTGTTTTGTGTTTTGTTTTGTCTGAGCCAGGGTTATTATAGTTAACTAAAACTGTTGAAAAGTGCTGTTTACAGCGTTTATATTTTTGGCACACAATGTAGAACATTCAACTATACTTTTTTTAAAGTTAAGGCAAAATGTTCAAGTATTTGTCAGCAAACTCGCAGATAAACACGGTGAGACTAGTGATGCACCGATATATCGGCGAATAATCGTTATCGGCCGATAGAAGCAATTATCTGCGCTATGGACAATTGTTTAAAAACAACTGATGATCAATGATTTGCATGAAGAAAATATTTCTTGTGTTGAATTTAGGGCTGTCCAAGTTAAAGCAACAATAACGCTAAAAAACTAAAATTCTATATATATTTCAAATGTAAACTTAAAACCGTAAACTTATTTTAATTCATCTAGTTTCCATTAAAATATTTCTCATTTTCATGCAGTTTAACTTGATTCACTAAAAAACTACAACTAAAACTGAAAAAAAAAAATATATATATATATATAGACATATTTAAAAAATAAAATGACAAAAATATTTAAATTGAATCACTAAGTTACCATTCAGAACACCTTAGCAACCACATATCAAAGCCCTAGCAATGATCTTGAACATCCTAGCTTGAGGTAAACTCCACTTAAAAATTTAGTTTTGTTTTTGTTATTTCGAGATACAAGATATGTTATGTCACAGACAATGCATGTGTTTATTTATTTATAAAACATTTTTTAAATAGCATCGCGTGTCATTTGGTTTCCAAACAAAAGAAACGAAGCCTTCAGGAAACTAATGACATTTGTTTTGTGCATAAACAAAGGTGTTATATTTATACACAAGAACTTTAATATAGAACCAGCAGAGTCACTGTGTACTTTTCCAGCCGCTCTCGTTGTACAAATGTTGACGCTGGTGTTACCTTCAGGGTTCTCATTGTACGAGAGATACAGACGTGATTTCAGATGTCCAAAACTTGCTCAGAAGTGCTGCCAACATTAGATTAAATAGAGCTTAATCGTTCCTGAATGCACTGTCCTGGTCACTCCGGTCTGGGCTGCTCCGGAGGGGTTGTTACCTGAAATTTGTGAACCATAAAGTCAATTTGTTACCTACTTTTCATGCAAAGTTCCATTTGATTAAACAAACAGACATGATTTTCCCATGGAATTGCATGCAGCCCTGTGTTTTAATACTGATTTCTGTCTTGTAGCCTGGTTGGGAGTTTTTGGAGCCTCATGAATTATGCAGTCCTCACCATCCTCACCAGCTGCCTGCGCTGCCCCCTGGCTGGGAGGAGAGGCAGGACAACCTGGGACGAACCTACTACGTCAACCACGAGAGCAGGACCACCCAATGGCACAGACCCACCATCCAGTAACGATCACCCACTTTAAACAAACATTAGAAACATGCATACACAAAACCAGTAACATACACGAGACCAATACGCCATGTAAATATTTGCCTTTATCTTTTGAGTTCCTTTCATTTGGCACATGGTTCTATTCAAAGTGACTAAAATATTTTAAATAAAATAAGAGGTTTTTTTTTACATTTTATTTTAAAATCAAAGATAAACTTTAAAAACCGTTTTGTTTTTATTTGTTATTTTATGTAGTTTATTTATTCTTTCTTTCATTTATTCATTAATTCGTTCATTCTATTTTTCACTTGTTTTTTTTGTTTGGCATGAATATAGCGGTGGAAACTGGCATGGCACTAAATTATAAATCAATCATATTTAAAATGTTGCTAGAGTCATGTCTGACCATCTGAATTACAGTTTACTATAATTGCTGTTAAATCTGTTTTTAGCACATCAAGTATATATATTGCACTTTGACTGAGAAACAAAAAGCCATTAAGACTTTAAACGTATTTTTAGTTTTATTTTATTATTTCTTTTTATTTAGTTCTGTTTTTTTTGGCTTTGTTTTTAGTATTTTGTTTTAGTAATTGGTTTTATTTTTATTACATTTTTCTCTTTTTTTCTTTTACTTTGTGTACATATGTTTTTTGTTTAAAAGGTTTTTTTTAGATTTATTTTGTCTTTATTTTTAGTGTTTATTTTGTTTTGTCAATATATTTTATTTCATTTGGTCTTATTTTTAGTATTAAAATTAATTATATATTTTTTATCTTTCACTATGTATATATAATATATAACTTTATAATATAATTTTAAAAAAATCATATTTAAAAAAATCATAAGGTTATAAATGCGTCATTTAGAACATCTAAATAAAGTTTTTTTGTGGTAACATTGTAGAGTTTTATTTTTTGTCTTTATTTGTTTTTAGATTGATTTTTAGTTTTATTTTAGTTTTATTTTTTCTTTCACTCTGTATTATATTATTAAAAGTTGTCACATTATTATATTAAGGGTATTTTGTAAAAATCATAAAAAAAGGTCAGGAGTTTTCATAACCAGGGTATAAACAAGTAATTTAGGGCCTCTAAATACAGGTTTTTGTGACCTCATGTATTTGTTTTCTATCGATTTTAAGGAAAAAATCAGCAGGTCATTACTCCCTACACAAAACTCTACTGAAGTCAAATATCCTGTAATAGCTAAGCCAGGCTGCTTGTTTCCTTCCTCTGCTCTCTGCTGGTCAGCGGTGCCCTCACCTGCTTCATTTGAGTCTTTCTGGGTCATTTTGAGCACTGAAGTGTGTGTGTTTTGTCCTGATTTACAGGGACAGTCAAAGAGACAATGAACAGAGACAGGATACACACAGCGAGTCCCAGCGGGCGTTCCTCACACGCAGACAAATATCTGAACATGGCGAGAACCACGAGCGCAGAGAGTCACCTGAGGTACTCTCTCTCTCACACACACACACACACACACACACACACACACACTTCTGCGATTTCTTCGAAACTCCTGGACAAACGACACACTTTCACATCTGTGTGTGTGTGTGTTTTGCAGAGCTGGGAGATCATAACAGCAGATGAGACCACGCTTTATAACAGCCACAGCGAGCGCTCTCCGCCGCCCCCCCACTCTCCGATGGAGTTTACTGGATTCTGTGAGGAGTTCAGCAGACTGCAGGCCGGAAACGACAGACGCACATCCCTCACGGTCAGTCCACACACACACACACTCATGAATCAGAGCAATGAAGTCTTTGACGAGTGAGTAAAACACAGAAATTAATACTTTTATTCAGTAAGAAGGCATTCAATTGATCAACAGTGACAGACATTTATAATGTTGCAAAGATTTCTAGATCAAATAAATTATTTTCTTTTGAGCTTTCTATTCATCAAAGAATCCTGAAAAAATCAAATGTATCACTTTCCACAAAAATATGTAGTATCACAACTGTTTTCAAAAATAAATATCTGATAAAAATCTGAAATGTTTCTTGAGCAGCAAATCAGCATATTAGAATGATTTCTAGAGGAATGATGCTGAAAATTCAGCTTTGAATCTAAAGAATAAATTACATTTTAACATATATTCACATAGAGAACACTTATTTTAAATTACAATAATATTTCACTGTATTTTTGATCAAATAAATGCAGCCTTGAAGAGACTTTTGCTTTCAAAAACATTGAAAAATCTTACCAACCCCAAAATTTTGAACAGCAGTGTAAGTGACACGAGCAACTCAAAGAAAAGTCATTCTAATGATCTACAGCAAATCACGTTTTCTAAATTCTTGCAGACGTTTATGCAAGATCCCAAATGTAAATGTGGTGACACATAAGGAATATTCCTCACATTAAGCCATTGATACAAAAATCACAATGTGTATTGATGGTTTTGTGACAGATTCAGGAGACTGATTCATACGAGTCATGTTGCTCCAAGTGATACATTGACTATATGCATAATTTAGAATGACCTCAAGTTTTGTGCTTCCACTAGTATATCTGATATTTAAATTAAGATTGATAGTTGACCTCTATGAGTTCTGCGCAGTGAGTTTTTTTTTTGTTTTTTTTTTGAGCAAATTAATGTATTGACCAATCAGCATCCAGAACCAAAACATTCCGTTTCGTGAAATGGAACATGAATATGTTGCAGCTTGTTTCATTGTAATATTTAAAGCTGGTGTTACAGTAACAATATAAACTATATGTAACAGGGAGTCTTGTGTTTTCATCAGCCGCAGGGTCACGGCAGCCGCAGAGGAAGTGGACAGACCCTAACAGCGGAAGAGCATCCTGTTCACCCCGTGGTGAGAGCATTAAAGCATTCATACATATACTGTATCTGTCCGTGTGAGTCCAGACCGAGCCCTCGCCGTGTGCTCTAGTTTCAGCAGAATGTGGAGTGTTTTTCTTAGTCTCTCAGCGCATGGTGTAATCTTAGCTGCCCTAGATTTCCCAGCATGCCCTGAACCTCGCAATACATCACCTCAGCTGCGGCGCCGCTCACATCTGCTCCCAGAGGACAGTGTGTTTGAGAGCCGAGCCACTAACTGATGGCTATTTGTGAACCAAACGGACGATCTGTAATGGATTGTTTCCATTTTTTGCTCTCCTCGTTTCACCCCTCTCTGCATTTTCGTTTCGTTACTCACTTTGTGGTTTTCTGTTCTTCCCTGTAGTTATTACCCACATCTGCCGGGCTGCCTCCGGGATGGGAGGAGAAGCAGGACAGTAAAGGGAGAATTTATTACGTCAATCACAACAGCAGGATGACAACCTGGACACGACCGCTCATTCAGGTACATCTCAGTCCTGGTTGAAAAGATCTTGCTCTAGAGAGCTCTATCAGCGTTTGGTGTAGTGCTGCACGGTTTGAGGGAAAAAAAAATAATAATGATTTTTTTTTTTTTAGTGGTGAAATCACAAGTTGTGATATAAAATTTTATGGGCTGAACAATTAATTTGTTGGCCTGCACAATATAATAATAATAATAATAACAACAACAACAACCAAATTAAATTTTTTTTTATTATTATTATTATTATTTTTTTTTTATTATTATTATATAGTCATGCTGATATATAAATCATACTTTTTCAGCCAAGTAATAACAATGATGATAATAATAATTGTTATTGTTATTATTATTATTATTATTATTATTATTATTATTATTATTATTATTATTATTATTATTATTATTATTATTATTATTATTATTATTATTATTATTATTATTATTATTATTATTATTATTATTATTATTATTATTATTATTATTATCATTGAGCTACATGTTTGCTGTGCTTGTTTGTACAGCTGCACAATTTGGCCAAAAAAAATGTAATTTTATATATCTTATAAAATATTTAAGATATATAAATTATATATATTATTTTATAATATATATAATAAAATAATATATATATATATATATATATATATATATAAAATTCTTTTTTTAACAATAATTGTACAACAGTTTTAACTAACAATAACTGTTATTATTACTATTACTAAAAAAAAAAAAATTTATAAGAAATTTTATTATTGTAATATTTCCCTGTAAAATTAAATAAAATTGAGTATACAAGAAAAATCATTTAATAATCATCATCATCATAATATTTTTATTTTACAGTCCAACTTTTTGTGGCTTACTTAAATTTCTTCATTTTCAAACATTAAACCATCATGCAGTCCTAATTTGTGGCGGAATACCGGCTCATCCCTCAGACCCCTGACCTTTGACCTGTGTATTTCAGCTCATACAGCCGCCCTCTGAGGCCGCAGCAGCAGCGGTGGCGGGTGCTGCCTTGAATCCCACAGTCTATGCTCCGCCGCTGCTCTCCCCGGATGTGTCCCCTCAGCACGCACTCTCTCACTCGCCGGAGCACACGGGCCTGATGCCGGCCGGCTGGGAGGTGCGCAGCGCTCCGAATGGACGGTCCTTCTTCATAGACCACAACACTAAGACCACCACATGGGTAAGACAAGACATGATGCTGCGCCATGGTATATGACTAGTGTTTGTTTTGCTTTTCCTGTGCATGTTTTGATTGCACCATTGTTCACGCTGAGATGTACTTCCTGTGTTTGCCATCCTGTTTCCTGTTCCGTCACAGGACAACCCCCATGCAGTCCTAATTTGTGGCGGAATACCGGCTCATCCCTCAGACCCCTGACCTTTGACCTGTGTATTTCAGCTCATACAGCCGCCCTCTGAGGCCGCAGCAGCAGCGGTGGCGGGTGCTGCCTTGAATCCCACAGTCTATGCTCCGCCGCTGCTCTCCCCGGATGTGTCCCCTCAGCACGCACTCTCTCACTCGCCGGAGCACACGGGCCTGATGCCGGCCGGCTGGGAGGTGCGCAGCGCTCCGAATGGACGGTCCTTCTTCATAGACCACAACACTAAGACCACCACATGGGTAAGACAAGACATGATGCTGTGCCATGGTATATGACTAGTGTTTGTTTTGCTTTTCCTGTGCATGTTTTGATTGCACCATTGTTCACGCTGAGATGTACTTCCTGTGTTTGCCATCCTGTTTCCTGTTCCATCACAGGACAACCCCCGGCTGAAGGTTCCTGTGCACATGAGGAGAAGAGTCTCCCTTGACCCCACTGACCTCGGCCCACTGCCGGTAAGACGGGTGATGTCATCGCTGATGTCATAATCAGATGATGAGGTCATGATTTTAATGACATGCTGTTCAGGACAGAGGGTGAAAAGGTGTGTGTGTGTGTGTGTGTGTGTGTTGTTAAGCTATGTTTTATCTTCTGCGCATGTGTGAAGAACACCATTTATGGGTTAGTCCAGTTCAGTCCTGTATACGGAGCTGCTGTGGTTGAACGTGATGATGCCGTAAAGAATGTTATTGCTAAGAACAGCTGTGGTTATGGAGTCAGTGTGTGTGTGTCTTTGTCTTCTGCAGCCTGGTTGGGAGGAGCGAGTACATGGTGACGGCAGAATCTTCTACATCGATCACAGTAAGTGACACATTAATGACCATGCCAATCTAAAAAACTTCTAGGATTCTGTACAATTCTTTTAGGGATCATATGTATTTTTTTTAAATTATTTAATATAATATTTTTACGAATAATTATATTTATAAACTTTTTTTTTTTATTTTTTTTTTTAAGAACTTTTTTTTTACTAATTATTTGTTTATTTATTATTTAAATTTTTTAAAATGTTTCTAAAAATGTATTATTTATAACTTATTTTACAAATTGTTGTTATTATTATTATTATTACGGAGCCCCGCACATGGCATGCAGGAAAAAAATAGTAGGCTAAATCATGCACACGATTTATAAATCAAGAGAACGGATTAGTAAATCGTGCGCACGATTTATTTATTTTTTCTTGCATGTCGTGTGCGGGGCTCCATATATTATTATTATTATTATATTTATTTGCATTTTTTATGCAATATTTTTTTTTTAAATGTGTTATATTTTTATTTATTTTATTTATACCTTTTATATAACCTTTTTGTTTTATATGTACTTTTTTATTTTTATTTGTACCAATTTTAATTTTATTTTTTGTTTTGTTTTTTTAGAAACAAAAGTCACACAGTGGGAGGATCCAAGACTACAGAGTTCAGCCATCACTGGTCCAGTAAGTGGTGTTCTGTTTCTGTTAAAGGTCCTGTACGGTCAGGCATTGAAGGCCAAGTCGGCAGAAACGGGCATTAATGGATCATATTGAGAGAGACTGCTGAAGCGCACAGTGATCTTTGCCATATCTTGTTTCTGAGCCTGAAACCCTGTACATTTCTTCCCAATGGTTTCCTGTAAGGGGTTTGTGCGTATCACGAGGGGAGGTTATATTTGTCCAGGATGAGTTGAATGATCTCTGTCGGGTCAGGAGCGCTCAACATCTGAGCAGATAAGAACTCATGGATTATTGGTGAACTGATTGTGTTCTGCTTTATTTCAGGCCGTGCCTTACTCCAGAGACTATAAACAGAAGTATGATTACTTCCGCAAGAAACTCAAGAAACCAGTACGTCACTCTCCTTCTTGAGCTTTGTGGTTTTTCCCATCCCATTAAGATTTCAACATCTTTGGGGTTTATCAAAGAGCAGAATTTTTAACCCAGTTTGTTCAAGTCACTACCGATATAATAATAAATAATACATTTATTTATTTATTTAGATGGTTTGCTGTGCTTGTTTGTATAGCCACACAATTTGGCCAAATTTATTATTATTATTACTACTACTACTAAATTATTCTGATTATTATTACTAAATAAAATACACAAAATATTACTGATTGATAAATAAATATTATAAATAAACAATAAATATTACTAAATAAAGTATACAAAATTGTGTGTAATCAAGTGTTATTTTTGTAATATTTCACTGTAAACAAAATAAGTGAATATTTATAATAATAATAATATTATTAAATATTAATCATGATTATTTAACTGTCAAACTTTTTATGTCTTTCCTAAACCACACAGTTATCACACTGAATGTAGTTTTAAAATCAACTGAATGAGTTGAATTGTGAATGTTGTTGAAGTGTTGAATGTTAATCAGTCATATTCACATTTTTCAGTAGTGCCATATACACTTGTTTTCATGACTTCAAAGGCAACATAAAAAAATCAAAGGTGGCCCGATTTATATTTTTAATAAACATTGCTCGTCTTATTTTTCAGTTGATCAGTGCAGATTATTTTAAAAGCATAAATTGTTGGTTTTTATAATCTTCATGAAAAAAATTTAAAACTATTCTTGCCTCTGAATCCACCTTTCTTCTGCGTGGGCTGGGAAAATATATTAACTAATAATAATTTGATCATCTAATATGTATGATCCAATCAACTAAATATAAAATCAAAATCATTCTTTTCTTGGCTCTTCAGGCTGACATCCCGAACCGCTTTGAGCTGAATGTGAGACGTAACGCTCTTCTGGAGGACTCGTACCGGCGCATTCTGTCCGTCAAACGCTCGGACCTGCTAAAGGCCCGCCTCTGGGTGGAGTTTGAGGGGGAGAAGGGGCTGGACTATGGGGGCGTGGCCAGGGAATGGTTCTTCCTGATCTCCAAGGAAATGTTCAACCCGTATTATGGGCTGTTTGAGTATTCTGCCACGTGTGTGATCCAGCTTTATATTTCCTTCAGTCAAATTGTGTCTTTAAATACACTCTTGTGTGTTGTGCTAAGAACTAGGGCTGTCAAAAAAAATTCGAATTTCGAATATTCGTCGAATTTAAAATATAAATCCACATTCGAATGCAGAAACGTTGCATTCGAATTTTAGGTGTGCGTCAGGCTGCCTTATCAGTGGTGCACGAGATGCGATGACGATGTAAGTGGCATTGAATTTTAATGCTTTTTTTAGCTTATCCAGTTGAAGCCACTAACGGCGCTGCTACGTTGTTCATTCAAAATCAGTACGTCACTCTCCTTCTTGAGCTTTGTGGTTTTTCCCATCCCATTAAGATTTCAACATCTTTGGGGTTTATCAAAGAGCAGAATTTTTAACCCAGTTTGTTCAAGTCACTACCGATATAATAATAAATAATACATTTATTTATTTATTTAGATGGTTTGCTGTGCTTGTTTGTATAGCCACACAATTTGGCCAAATTTATTATTATTATTACTACTACTACTAAATTATTCTGATTATTATTACTAAATAAAATACACAAAATATTACTGATTGATAAATAAATATTATAAATAAACAATAAATATTACTAAATAAAGTATACAAAATTGTGTGTAATCAAGTGTTATTTTTGTAATATTTCACTGTAAACAAAATAAGTGAATATTTATAATAATAATAATATTATTAAATATTAATCATGATTATTTAACTGTCAAACTTTTTATGTCTTTCCTAAACCACACAGTTATCACACTGAATGTAGTTTTAAAATCAACTGAATGAGTTGAATTGTGAATGTTGTTGAAGTGTTGAATGTTAATCAGTCATATTCACATTTTTCAGTAGTGCCATATACACTTGTTTTCATGACTTCAAAGGCAACATAAAAAAATCAAAGGTGGCCCGATTTATATTTTTAATAAACATTGCTCGTCTTATTTTTCAGTTGATCAGTGCAGATTATTTTAAAAGCATAAATTGTTGGTTTTTATAATCTTCATGAAAAAAATGTAAAACTATTCTTGCCTCTGAATCCACCTTTCTTCTGCGTGGGCTGGGAAAATATATTAACTAATAATAATTTGATCATCTAATATGTATGATCCAATCAACTAAATATAAAATCAAAATCATTCTTTTCTTGGCTCTTCAGGCTGACATCCCGAACCGCTTTGAGCTGAATGTGAGACGTAACGCTCTTCTGGAGGACTCGTACCGGCGCATTCTGTCCGTCAAACGCTCGGACCTGCTAAAGGCCCGCCTCTGGGTGGAGTTTGAGGGGGAGAAGGGGCTGGACTATGGGGGCGTGGCCAGGGAATGGTTCTTCCTGATCTCCAAGGAAATGTTCAACCCGTATTATGGGCTGTTTGAGTATTCTGCCACGTGTGTGATCCAGCTTTATATTTCCTTCAGTCAAATTGTGTCTTTAAATACACTCTTGTGTGTTGTGCTAAGAACTAGGGCTGTCAAAAAAAATTCGAATTTCGAATATTCGTCGAATTTAAAATATAAATCCACATTCGAATGCAAAAACGTTGCATTCGAATTTTAGGTGTGCGTCAGGCTGCCTTATCAGTGGTGCACGAGATGCGATGACGATGTAAGTGGCATTGAATTTTAATGCTTTTTTTAGCTTATCCAGTTGAAGCCACTAACGGCGCTGCTACGTTGTTCATTCAAAATATTGCGGAAAACGAGAACATCAGTGTGGAGAAGATGTTGTTTACGGCAAAACTGAAACTAAGTCGTTCACACAGAATGCATATTTATCGCATTTTCTAGAGGGACGTCTATCAGCGTTGCACTCGCGTCTCGCACAAGAGAGCCACATGTTTAGAAAGCCATGTAAAATTAAAGTAAGTTCAACTTTTATAAATCATGTCTCAAGACTTTATGGCGGTTTTTCTGGATCCCACTGCATCTCATGTTTTTAAATGAAGAAAGTACTCTTTGTGATTGCTTTTCGGTCCTTTGTATTAAACAATACATACATGCATGATGCCGTTTTGTTTCTAATTGTTTAAGCAACTTAATTAATTATATATGGTTTATAAACATTATTTTGAACATTATACACTTTTTTCAAAGTTTAAAAAAAAAAAATAATAGTCATGTTATTTTATTGCTTTGAAGAAACGTGCATTAGTAATATTTTGCTCGATGCGCCGTCTTGTGGCCTCGAGAGAAGCCAAAACCTTTTTTCCCCCTAACTGAAATTATGCATTTTAAATTTAAATATAATTCAAATATTGATAATATTTAAATACAAAATTTGAATTTAGTTTTTCATCCATTTTGACAGCCCTACTAAGAATGTGCTAAAATCTTTTAGAAATTTTTTAAATGCTGTTGTATGAATATTGCAGGGATAACTACACCCTACAGATCAACCCCAACTCAGGTCTGTGTAACGAGGACCATCTGTCCTATTTTAAGTTCATCGGCCGGGTGGCTGGGATGGCCGTTTATCACGGGAAGCTGTTGGATGGTGAGTAACCTATCAAGACCAATAAATGCCCACAACTCATATTCACAGTGTTTGACTTTATCGATAGACACACTGCACGCAATCAGACCGATTTACTAAAGGCAACAAATGTCTAAAAGTAACTACAGTGATAATTCTGTCATCGTTTACTCTTAAATGATTTTGTCTGCACAGCATTCTTCATCCGGCCCTTCTACAAGATGATGCTGCAGAAGCCAATCACGTTACAGGATATGGAGTCAGTGGTGAGTGACAGGCACACCTCAACCAATCAGCATCAGCTCTAAATGTCACTTTAGCGCTTTTTCAGAGAGAGAAATAACACTACCACACTACCTACAAAATAGCTGAATACTTCTATGTATAATGTGCAGAGAAAAAAAAATTGTAGATAGTAAACAGTGCTTTACATTGGTTTGCTTTTGCCCCTTCATAAATGTTCAGTAGATTGTAGAAGTGCACTACAATGAAATAGTCACTCGTATTTATTTTGATTTAATTTATTACATATATATATATATATATATGCATATATATATACTCATGAAAAATGGGTGCAAAAACAAAAGTGTTGCGTTTATAATTTTGTTCAGTGTATATATATATACTTTTTTTTTTCTTCAAATTTGCAATTTTTATAATTTATTTTATTTACTTTATATATAAATTTATTTCTTTTTTTTTCATATAGTTTTTAATTTGTTTATCAGTTCTGTTATATTTAAACTTCAAGGAAACCACTTTTAAAAAGAAAAAGAAAATACTTGATAGTATGTGTACAGCCTAGTAGTATTTCATTCTAAAACAATTCATTGCTTCTGGGTAATAAGTAAGAAGTGTAAGTTATATTTTAACACAGTTTGAGGGCTGTTAACACTAATGATGTGCTTAATGTCCCATGGAGCTCTAGTTTAGTCATCATTAGGTATCAAACACTTGTCAGTCTGTTGGTTTTGGTCACATTATTTCAGGACAACGAGTACTTCAACTCCCTGCGATGGATCTTGGAGAACGACCCCACAGATCTGGACCTCAGGTTCACCATCGACGAGGAGCTCTTTGGACAGGTGATCTGTTCTGCTTTACACTCTATACACACCATGCAACTTTTGCTTTACATTCCTAGATGCTTTGTGTGAGGAACAGACTGGAACAGGAACAGAATTGGGTGAAACTTAGGTGAACTGTTCCTGTAAAAGACCTGTAAATAAAGTCCTCTAGACTTCCTAAAGATATGATTCGTGTAGTTGTATTTTGATGTGATATCGATCTGATCTCTTCCACAGACGCACCAGCATGAGCTGAAACCAGGAGGTGCTGATATTGTGATCAATGACAACAACAAAAAGGAGTATATTCAGTATGTTTTGCCTCCCTCTAGTGGCACACAGATCTAACACATCAATGTCACAGTGACACTTTTCACATGCGACAGGCTTCACGATATAATACCATCTCCTCTGGTGTTTCTTTGCAGTCTGGTGATGCAGTGGAGGTTTGTGGATCGGATCCAGAGACAGATGACGGCCTTCAAGGAGGTACAGACCCTCGTTCAGTCGGTTCTCAGTGCCGCCCACTGAGAGTTTCACTGACTTGTGTTTTATCTGCAGGGTTTCTATGAGCTGATTCCTCAGGACCTGATCAAGATCTTTGATGAAAACGAGCTGGAGGTGAGACCATCTGCTTTACGCTGTATGTACCTGAGCTCTCATGACCCTGCTGACCTCTCTGTGTTCCTCAGCTGCTGATGTGTGGCTTAGGAGACGTGGACGTCAACGACTGGAGAGAAAACACCAAATATAAAAATGGCTACAACCCAAATCACCCTGTCATCATCTGGTTCTGGAAGGTCAGATTTGATTCCTCACATATTTTTTTATTATTAAAAATCAAATCATATTTGCTTTTGTTCAAATCTAATTATAATTTTGGCTTAAAGCGATTATAAAAACTGTTATAGGGCTGTATTCAGTTTAGTCTATTTTGCTATAAATTCAGCGTGTCCCTTTCCATTACAGCAGTGCTCTTTTTTTTGTTTTTAATAGATTGTAGAAATACACTAAAACAACATTTTTATAGTCATAGTTCATAATTAATCATTTTTATTTTAACACACACACGCACATAAGTAATCGTGCAATAATTTTGATCACAGCATTGAACAAAATAATCGTGATTCTGGCCTTAATTGAGCATCTCTAATTATAGGTAGTACTAAGCCACTAAAAAATCATGTTACAGTGATTTTTACCATGATTAAGGATTGTTGTGGGCAAATTTAAATTTTAATAACAATTTTGAATGATCATAAAAACAGTAGAGATAAAGCAGTTATTGAGTTTTGCAGATGTTTTTTTTTTTTATAAATCCAGAGTTTAATCCAAATTTAATCTAATTTATTTTTATTTATTATTTTTAATATTATTTATGTAAATGTATATAAATTCTGTGTAAATTATTTAATTTATTTTTATTTTTCTGTTGTTGTTTTTTTAGTTTTTTCCAGTCAAATTATATTTGATGTTCAGGCATATCCAATGTCGAAAAGACATTTAAAAAAAAAAAACTTGAATAAATACATGATGTTTCTAATCTCTGAGTAATCGTGATAAAACACTTGTTAATAATCACAAACTAACCATGATTTCAGTATTGAACAAAATAATAGTGATTCTGACTTTGTGTGATTCTGAGCAGCTGTACTTAATGATGTAGGTGATTTTTACCATGATTAAGTGTTGTTGTTGTTGTACATAGCAAGTAGCTAAAACGTAAAGCTAAAAACCCTTAACCATGGTAAAATCACTGTAACTGCAGTATTATAGCACAACTTACAGAATGAATTGATTTGAATTTGTTGACGGTACTTCAGACGGTGTTGCTGATGGATGCAGAGAAGCGAATCCGTTTGCTGCAGTTTGTGACGGGAACGTCCCGCGTACCGATGAACGGCTTCGCTGAGCTCTACGGTAAGCCCCGCCCCCATCTCACGACGCTCATTAATATTAGGCATTATTATTATTTGCACTAAGTGAAAATACAAATTAGATTCTATTTACACTAAGTGCAAATAGCTATAGATTTTATTTACACTGTTAAAAATAGCTAGATTTACTGCTATTTATACTACTTATTGCAAATAGTGGCAATTATCTGCACCTCAGTATTGTAGTACATTATAAAACAGTACGCAGTAATAATGTATTGAGTGTAAATTATAATTTGAATTCAAATTATTAAATGGATGCCACCTTATTGGGACAATAAAGCCCTCCCTACACCTACCCGATATTTTATTTTCAACTTTTTGATTATTTCCTTGATTATTTTCCGATGCTATATGAGATTTGAAAAGGGAGAAAAAAAGTTCGGCAAAAGGTGGGTTCGAACTCGTCAAAAAGCATGCGCCCTACGCCACTGAAACTGATGTTTAACAAGCGTTTTTTTTTCATTATTGACTATCCCAATCACACGTTGGGGGGCGGAGTTAGTGTAAATAGCCTCTGCCAACAAGGCGGCTGTTTGCACTTAGTGTAAATAGACACTCCGTTAGTAATATTAATGCAGTTCTGTCATGGCAACTCTCGAGGGATTGGCATGGTAATGTACATGACAATGTTAATGTATTTGGTCTTGGCGGAATAGATCTGCTGCTGCTGCTGCAGAGCAAGTACAGAGACAACATGCTGCTGTGAGCATGTAAGAAATACTGCTGCTGCACATATAACACATATGAATAACCCCCATACAGCATACATGAATCACCTCGTAGCAGATCTATTCAGGTGGAGCTGGGGAAGGTGGAGGGTTTCTGAAGCAAGCTGCAACTGTTACTGCAAGCACTAGTCATATATTTGAATGTTGAGCAGCGAGCTCATTGGCTACTGATACAGGAGAGAACCAATCAGCTGTGCCATGTGATAATGATGTCATTAGGTCAGACTGAGTTAGACCTATCGGACTGCGCCATCTAGAGTTTCATGCCAGAACTCTGTATTTGATAGTGTCATTCTGTGTTTCTGTGATTTCTCAGGATCCAACGGGCCGCAGTTGTTCACTATCGAACAGTGGGGTGCGAGGGACAAACTGCCCCGAGCGCACACCTGGTGAGGGATCTGTCTGTGTGTCTGCACCTGTCTACCTGTCTCTCCTGTCTCGTTCATGACTTGTCCTGTGTCTCTCCGTCAGCTTCAACCGGCTGGATCTCCCTCCGTACGAGTCGTTCGAGGAGCTCCGTGAGAAGCTGCTCATGGCGATAGAAAACGCTCAAGGCTTTGATGGGGTGGATTAGACTCCGGCTGCCACGGCAACAGCGTAACCATGGCGACAGCATCAGGACCATCAGGGCATGTGCGAGCGGCTCTACGGGAAACGAGGACACACCGTTATAAAATCACAAATCTGTATGTTTCTGATGTTTACAGAATAACGTTTTGTAATGTACTCTTGCATACAGCTGTATGTTTCTACGTACAAGATTTCGAAACATCTATAGATTTGATCATATCTATGCATTTGAGCATAACTGAGGAATCGTGTATTTCTAATATGAGCTTTTAAGTCACGCGTTATGGATGTGCACTATTTGGCTGATGAGATTTCCCAACATGCACAATGTGAGACCATTATATTTCTGGCAGTCTGTACAAATAATGTAATTTTTTCGTTTGTTTTTGAATTTTTAAAAATTCTAATGTATCCAGGCATCATTGTTTGTACTGATCAAATGCTCTATTGCTCTTAATCATGATTTTTTTCCCCCCCTCACTTTGACTTTGTTTACATGTTTTTTTGTTTACAGATAGCTCACTTTTGAAAACCATATGATTATTAATCTTTTTTTTTTTTTTACTGCTTTTGAAGGTTGAAGCACTTTTCTAAAATCATAAGGTTCAAGTCTTACTATGTATAGATCACCTCAGTCAAGCTGTATTGAGACAAATCATTGCTTTATATCATTTACTAAATGTTTACAGCTTAAATATTGCTTAAAGTAAGCACATTTTGTCTTGCAAGAAACGTATCGGACTGTTAAATAACTTTGCCTTCATTTGTACTATAAAACTATTCGATTCTGTGTGCTGACGAGCAACTTTTAATGAGGAAACACTTTTATGGTCGATATTGTAGTTTAATTAGACACTATTATATGAACTGCATTTCTACAAATGTTTTTGGCACTGACGAGAGGGTTTCAGAAAGGATTTTCTATTAAAGATTTATGAGCGAAAGTGTCTTTCGTTTTATTGTAAATTGTGCTGATTTGAATTGTCACGCCGATCTTTATGGCTGCATATTTTTGGGAAATTAATAAAATGGAAAAGACTCTTCCCATGTGATGTCTTCATTAAGGTTTGTGTGGTCTTTAAGAGTTATTAGTTAAGCAGTTGTCATAATACATGAAGAGCTCAGATGCAAAAGCCTCTTAAGTGCCATTTGAAATTGTCTTCTAAAATTAGAATTTTTCTATGTTTATGCCCAGACAATTCACTTTAATGGCAATTTCAAGTGACACTTAGAGGCTTTTCCCATATTGTTTCAAAGTAACTTTAACAGGAAACGCCTGCTAGTCAGCAGACAAAGATAAATGTTACACGGAAAAGGCCTGAAGATGTTTAAAACAGAAAGGAAACACCGCTGGGCAAGCGCATCCTCTTCTGGAAGGTACATCATTTAATTATTACTAATAATTTTATTTTACTTATTATTATACAAATGGAATTGAATGGCAGTTATTTTACGTATTATTTTTTTACTTGTAGACAAATGGGATTTATTTTTGTATTTGTTTTATTATTATACAGTGATATTGAATAACATTAATTTTTATATTTATACTAGTATATCAGTGGTATTCAGTAACATTTATTTATATTTTATTATTATTGTACAAATTATACTGAATAACATTTATTTTTATGTTTATGTTTATTTGTATTTTTATGTGTATTATTTTTATTTTATACAAATGGTACTGAAAAACATAAGTATATTCGTATTATTATACAAATAGTTTTGAATATTTATTTAATATTTATTCATATAAATGCATATTTTATTTACAAATAAATGTCATTATAAATAAATAGAAGACATGTTCTCATGATAATTATTGTAAAGTTGTGTATTTGATTGATGCAGTGATGCAGTTCTCTAAACGTCCGCTAGGCGGCAGTAACAGCGCAGGTGGAAATCGGCCAAAAGGGGGCGCAGTAAAGGTCTAAAGGTCTTTACAACGTGGGCTGTGTTGTGGCATAAATAATACTTTATTGATCTAATACATTAGATGTTGCCTACATATACTATTTGGAACTATACCTTTACTCTGCATGAAATAATAGAGTTAAATACATTAAAATATATGTTCCCATATAATGTTAAAGTAGTAAAAGCCTCAGAGCTGAGCAGAGTGTTGAGTGATGTAGAGGATGTTTGTGGGCCCGAGTGACAATGCTGTTGTTTTCCCCTTTTCTCTCCCATCTGCCTTTATGCCCACAGTCCTGCAGAGGTCAGCTGATGGGTCACACACCATTTCTCTCAACCTGGACAGTGCTGTGCTGGGGTCAGAGGGGTGTGGCTTTCTGCCGAGGGGCGGGGAGATGTGGGAAAGTGTCCAGAGAGAAGGGGCCTAGAATACAAGCCGGCACTTCTTTCTCCCTTATTGATCAGATCTCATGCATTAGCATATTAGCAGTTGCTGTTTCCAAAATGAAATGGAATAAATGACGTGTTTTTCCCCAGACACAGATAACTCTGTTCATCCTCACGACTGAATGGATGTGGATCATGCCGACACAGCAAACCAGAGATGGATAGCAACTGTTTCAGGTTTATTAAACTACAGTAGAATTTATTCACAGTCACACTATTCATTGCAAGATTTCTTACATTTTTATTGTGACAATTATTAATAATGATTTATTATTATTTTATCATAATTACTGATAATTATTTGATATTTTATTATTATTTATAATTATACCTATATATATATATATATATATAATATAGTAATAAAATGCTAAAATTATATATATGTGTGTGTGTGTGTCTTATTAATCATATCATAATTGTTATTTATAATTGGGTGTAATGCATAACTATTTTGAGATATAAATGTCAATTTAGAATACAATTCTAACATTATATATTCCTGTATCATTGAATTTTGGGAAGTTTTATGCAGTGTGACATGTTATAAATATATAAACAAGACTAGATTTAAAAAGCATTTTTCACTTTTTTCACATTTTAAATATTTCTGTTAGAAATTCATGTCAACGCAGGACCATTTAAAATTGGCAAAACTTGAAGAGCAATTATAGGATAAATAGAGCTTTTGTGGTTTTAGAAATGGCTGAAGTCTGGTGTTTTTCTCTGTGTTTGCTGACTGTGGGAAACTGAACTCAGGCTCTTTTCTCCTGATATTCACTAAACAGATGTATTGTTCTTCCTGACCTGCAGTCCGAGCAGAACTATTGTCTGGAGGACGAGGGGGAGCAGATCAATACTGTTCCTTCAGTCTGCAGCTGTCCAGCTCAAGCCATCGATACTGGGCAG